TCGGGTCCAAATCCCTAACTGTCCAGTGCCTTGGGATGACCCCCAATGGGAAAGGCGCAACACAAATGTAATTTGTGTTGTATTGTATGGCAACATGGAGCAGTGTGACACAAGTTGGAGTTTCACTGGATCCAGAACTGGTTAGGAGACAGAAAGCAGAGAGTGGTAGTAAACGGTTGCTTTTCTGACTGGAGGGAGGTGTGTAGTGGTGTCCCTCGGGGGTAGGTATTGGGACCACTGCTCTTTCTGATCTATATTAATGATCTGGACCTGGATATAGGGAGCATGATTTCCAAATTTGCAGACGATACTAAGCTACGAAAAGTGGTTAATGGTGAGAAGGATAGTACCAGACTCCAAGAGGACTTAGACAGATTGGTAAAATGGGCAGAAAAGTGGCAGGTGAGGTTTAATGTGGAGAAATGCAAAGTGATGCATTTTGGTAGGAAGAATGAGGAGAGGCAATATAAGCTGATGGTACAATCTTAAGGGGGACAAATAAGATCATAAGAATTAGGAGCAGTAGGCCAGTCGGCCCCTCGAGCCTGCCCTGCCATTCGATAAGATCATGGCTGATCTTCTGACCTAACTCTAATTACTTGCCCTATCCCCATATCCCTAATCCCTCTATTTTTTTTAAAAAATCTATCAGTCTCAGCCTTGAAAATGTTCAAGGACTGAGCATCTACAGCCTTCTACAGCCCTCTGAGTGAAGAAATGTTTCCTCAACTCTATTCTAAAAGGCTGACCCTTCATTTTAAGACCGTGACCACTGGTTATAGATTCTCGTACCAGGGGAAACAGACCCTCAGTGTCTACTTTATCAGCCCTTTAAGAATCTTATATGTTTCAATAAGATCTCCCCTAATTCTGTACTCTGGAGAATACAGCCCTAGTTTATTCAGCCTATCCTCATAGGTCAGTCCCCTCATCCCAGGAACTAACCGAGTGAATCTACGCTGCACCCCCTCGAGGGCAAGTATGTACTTTTTTAAATAAGGAGACCAAACTGCACACAATACAAATGAAGAGAGAGACCTGGGGGTCCATATAAGCAAATCTCTGAAGGTGGCAGGACAGGTAGATAAAGCTGTTAAAAAAGCATACGGGATACTAGGTTTTATAAATAGGGGCATAGAATTCAAAAGCTGATTCAATAACAGCTTTTAAGAGAGAGGTAGATGGGTATTTGGGGAGGACAGGATTGCAGGACTATGGAGAGAAAGCGGACCAGTGGGATTGAGTTGGATTGCTCTTTTCAGAGCCGGCGCAGACACGATGGGCCGAATGGTCTCTTTCTGTGCTGTATGATTCTATGATTCCTACGAGTTCCTAACGTAGAAACAGACCATTTAGTTCATCAATTCTGTGCTGGTGTTTTCCTCCATGAACCACTTAATCCAATCCCACTCCTCTACTTGCTCTTCAAAGCATTCCCTGAAGCACATCATCACCACCACCAACAACAAAATTACATTTGTATAGTGCCTTTCATGACAGGAAGACGTCTCAACACCAGGTGTTGTGGTGAGGCTTTGAGTACAGATCAGCTGCTTGCCCAAAAGTTGGAGGAAGGGTTAAGAAGAGCCTTTGGGCCTTTCTCACTCGTTTCTTAGCTCTGAGCTATGTTGCACCAGAGACCCCAGAGCAGGCCATTTGCCCTTTTTGGCCATTAAAAACTAAATTACATTTTGCTCAATACATAATTGAGAAGATGTGTCTCAGAATGTTTAACTGTTCTAATTCAATAGCACTTTATTATGTGATCCTAAAATTGATAATTCACTTCATGGCTCAGGGATATTGCTGTGTGCAAATTGGATGTCGTGTCTGTCTACAAAATACACAGTCACTATATTTTACAATGGTTCCTGGAACACTCTGTGATGTCCTTCTGAAGTGAAATACTCTATATCAAAACTGCAAAGACTATTATTACAACAACAAGAAAATTACATTTGTATAGCACCTTTTATGTGGGGAGGACATCCCAAGGCGCTGGACAGACAGAGTTACGGATCCGAGTTGGGGGTCGAGGAGGGCAGGGGGGGGAAGCAGGGAGATCGAAAGCACGATCGAAGAGGAGGGTCTTGAAGGTGGTGAGGGAGGGGGTGAGACGGAGGGACTGCAGGATGGAGTTCCAGAAGCTGGGTGGACTAAGGAGGGGGAAAAACAATCTGACTTCACATTACTGTGAAGAGTGGCAGAAGGCCCGCCTGCTAATAGTGGGGCTAGTGAGGTGGGGGGCGTGAAGCAGGCCGGAGCCCGCTGAGCAGAGGGAGCAAACAGGGTAGTAGGGGGTTAGGAGGTCGGAGGGAGCAAGACCGTGGAGGGCTTTGAAGGTGAGGACCAACCAGGATCTTGAACTGTATCCTCTGTGTGATGGGAAGCCAGTGGAGTTGGGCAAGGATGGGGGTGATAGTGTCGTGGAGCCTAGTGCGGGAGAGGACATGGGCTGCAGAGTTCTGGATGATCTGTAGCCTGTGGAGGGAGGAGTTGAGGAGGCCGACAAGCAGTGAGTTTGCATAGTCGAGCCTTGATGCAATGAAGGCATGAATGAGGGTTGTCCCATGGTGCTGAATGGTCAGGGATTAGGACCCGAGCGGGAGAAGTACTGGGTGTTGGGATCAGCGAGGTTGGAGGGCAGAGAGGGTAGAAGAGTGGTAGAAGTATTATTACTTTACAGCACAAGTTATTAGGTCAGCAATCAGTAATGTAAACTCAGATTGTTTTTCCCCCACCCTGGTCCAGTACACCAATTAATGTTCAGGCTGATTTTCTTTACATATTGCCACTACATTACCAGAAAAACAGGTTAGGTTTCTACGAACAATTGCCTACCAAATACACTTTGGCTCTACTGGCTCCCCATCCCTCAGAGGATTGAGTTCAAAATTCTCATCCTCACCTTCAAGGCCCTCCATGGCCTTGCCCCTCCTACCTCTCCGACCTGCTAACCCCTTAATCAACCTTTCTGCTCCCTCCACTCAGCAAGCTCCGGCCTGCTTCATGTCCCCAACCTGGGCCGCCCCACCATCGACGGTCAGGCCTTCAGCCTCCACCCCCACCTCCTGGAACTCCATCCCATGTTCCCTTCGCCTCGCTCCCTCCCTTACCTCCTTCAAGGCACACCTCAAGAACCTCCTCTTCGACCGTGCCTTCGGCCACCCTCCTACCCTCTCTGCCCTGAACGCTCCATGATCCTGACACCCAGCACCCCTCTGTCTCGGGTCCTAATCCATGTCTGTTCAGCTCCCTTGCGACGTCCTTTAAAGTGCGAAAAGCGCTATAGAAATGTAATTTTGTATTATAATAATGACTCAGTTGGTTAATCCTTTAAAACCAGATTGTTGAAAATTGTCTTTGAAGCAATCGGTGATCATCAATCCGGAGATTCTGCAAATGAGAGCTTTGTAAAACAACAACTTATCGCATTTATATAGCGCCCTTCACGCAGGGTAGCGTTTCGGAGCGCTTTAACAGTGGCCGAGCCTGACACTGTGCTGGGAGAGGCGGTGGGGAGGTGTCCGGTCAAAGTGGAAGGTCTTTAGGGCGCGATCTGAAGACGAGGAAGGAGGAGGGGATTCCGGCTGCGAGTTCCATCGGTTTTTTGGGGGCGGAGTGGGGGTGTAATGGCTGAAAGCACAGCCTCCAAGGACACCCACTGAGCGTCACAACAAAAGTTTTCCTTCAGTCCAAGCGGCAGGGTCTTGTTTTGGATGCGTTTCAAAAAAAACCAAGAGAGAATGAAGTTCTACCAAATCCTGCGGCAGTGAAAGTTGCCATGGCCGGGGCAGGGTGGGCCGGGGCAGGGTGGGCAGGGTGGGTCGGGGCAGGGTGGGCAGGGTGGGCCGTGGCGGGGTGGGCAGGGTGGGCAGGGTGGGCAGGGGGCGGGGTGGGCCGTGGCGGGGTGGGCAGGGGCGGGGTGGGCAGGGTGGGCAGGGGGCAGGGTGGGGGTGGGCAGGGTGGGCCGTGGCGGGGTGGGCAGGGTGGGCCGTGGCGGGGTGGGCAGGGTGGGCAGGGGGCGGGGTTGGGCAGGGTGGGCGGGGTGGGGCAGGGTGGGCGGGGTGGGGCAAGGTGGGCGGGGTGGGGCAGGGTGGGCGTTGGGTGGGTGGGGCAGGGTGGGCGGGGTGGGGCAAGGTGGGGGTTGGGCAGGGTGGGCGTTGGGTGGGTGGGTTGGGGCCGGGTGGGGGGGGGGTTGGGGCCGGGTGGGGGGGGGGTTGGTACCGGGTGGGGGGGGGGGTTGGGCAGGGTGGGCAGGGTGGGCGGGGCGGGGTGGGCGGGGGGGGGGTTGGGCAGGGTGGGGGGGGGGTTGGGGCCGGGGCTGAGCACAGGAGCAGTTACGTAAGGACAGACTACAGTGTTTGCTCGGCGGGTGCGGTGCTGAGATGCATTAATGTACTTCGCACCGCCTCACGCAGATAATGCAGATGTGTTTACACCAAAAAAGCTCTGCCCGAGCACCAGCAGCAGCACCACCAGGACCAGCAGCACCAGGACCAGCAGCAGCAGATAGAGAGGGAGGGAGGGGGGGGTCAATCTGCCCGGGGCTCGGGTGCCGGATCCCAGCTCGGATCTGTACAATGCTGCTGGTAAAGCGTTGTTGTTGCCGTCCTCCCCTCCCCTTCCCCCCTCCCCTCCCCCTCTCCCCCCCCTCCCCCCCCCCCCTCCCCTCCCCCTCTCCCCCCCCCTCCCCCCCCCCCCTCCCCTCCCCCTCTCCCCCCCCTCCCCTCCCCTCCTCCCCTCCCCTCCCCCCCCCTTCCCCTCCCCTCCCCCTCCCCCCCTCTCCCCCCCCTCTCCCCTCTCCGCGGTCAGACCGTCAGACCGTCAGAGACGGTGGGAACGGCAATGCGGAGGGACAGACCGACGCCTCTGTCCCACTGAGAGCCAATTCTCGTGCAGATCGCAGCAGTGAAGCACACGGTGATCCCCCGCAGCTGCCGTGTACATGACATGGCATACACCCGTACATACATATCTACCTATATGAGTGCACTCACCCCGCGGGCTGGGCTCCTCCACATACAGCGGTGTTGTGGGTGTGCTGGTTTCTGAGTTGTTCCCTGATAACAGGGGCGAGCGCTCGTCCGCCCCATCAGCGGCCATCATCCCCGCACACAGCGCCACAGCCACAGCGCAGCGCTCACACAGCGCAGGAGGCGGTGCCGGGGAGGGGGGGGGAGGGGAGGGGAGGACTTTAAACTAATCCGAGAGGACGTGAAGGACTTTGCCTCGATCCGAAGGGAAGAGGTTCATATATCGCTCTCAGCCACGCGGGAGGAAGGGCTTCCCATCACTTTCAGCCACAGAGGGGAAGAGTCCTGTGGCTCAGGGGTTAGAGCACTCGCTTTGCAAGTGAGAGACCTGAGTTTAATTCCAGGCAGAGGGCGAAACCTTGGGCAAGTTTCCTTACTCCACACAGAGCCTAATAATAATCCCTCCAAAACCCAAAACAATAATAAATTGGTCATTTTCAATCCACGACTGTTTGTGGGACATTGCTGTGCGCAATTGGCTGCCGCATTCGCCCACAAATATACAGTCAATTCACTTTACGGTGTATTTCTGTGAAGCGCTTTGGGACGTCCTCCCGACGTGAAAAGCGCTATATCAAATGCAAGGATTATTATTATTTAAGAGGCCTTAACGTCTTTTTTTTCTCTCTGAAGATAAATTGGTAACCAGACAGAAAGGTATCATTGAGATGTTGTGAAAGCTTCGCCTTCATTATATTCTGCATCGCTCTGACATGATCCAACCTATGCACAACCGTGCAGATTGATTGCGGATTGAGCAAGTGTTCGCTGGCCTCAGTTGGCAGCACTCGTGCTTCTGAGTCAGAAGGCTGTCAGAAGGTCCAAGCTACATCTGGGCTGACACTCCAGGCTCGTGCTGGGGGAAGGGTTTGCTGCATTGTTGGTGATGCCATTCTTTGGATTCAATGTTAAACTGAGGTTTCAGTTCAGGTGGGCGTAAAAGATCCTGTGGCACTACTCATAAAGAGAAGGAGGTTTCTACTTGTGTTCTGGCCAAGATCCCCCCCCCCCCCCCCCCCAGATAAAATAGATCATTCTCTTCATGTCTGTTTGTAGGAAATTGTTGTGTGCAAATTAGCTGCTATGTTTACCTATAAATACAGAATCACAATACTTCACAGTAAATCCTGTGAAGTGCTTTGAGACATTTCGACAGTGCGATAAGGTACTATACCAAATGTAAGGATTATTATAATCACCAGTAGGGATGTAGTTATCAACATCTGTCTGTTCATGTTTTGTGGATAGCATTTTGTTTGGTAGTGTGCACTTACTGATGAGACAACAGAACGAGTTGTCACAAATGATTGAAATTTGAGCACCAAGGGAGCAGATCGCTTTTTGGATCTTCTAGGATCAAGCGTTGTCAGAATCAAGCTTTTTAGGATGACGAATTTTCTAATACTCAATCTTGATTTGACTGATGGGTTGCCTCACTTGATGAGATGTTTGATATTTGATCATGAATTTCAAACCAAATTCAGCAAAATGGTACTGAAGCTCTAGGAATTGAAACTGTCTTTGCCTAAATCGAGAGAAAGACTATGCCAAACGTTGAAAACTGAATGAAGCCAAAGTAACTAGTGAGAACGTTAGCTGCTGTAAATGCGATCTCAAGGTCAGAGTGGTTTTTTCCATGTTGGTGATTGAAGTGACTAACCAAGAGAATTTTATACTTGTGATATCAAACCCAAAGTTTACTGCATGCAAACTGGGCAAATTCCAAGTACTTTTTAAATGAACCAAACTGTCTCAATTCAAAATACTTGCTTTTATTAGCACTCAAAAGAGAACAAAACAGAAATAGGAAGGAAAAGAGATAAAGCATGCAATATGCGCTTATCTAACCAGGAAGGTTATACAGGGAGGGAGAGCAAAAGCCACAATGAGCCACATGTACTATTTAGATTATTTACATAGAGAGAGCAAAGACTTGTTTGTTTGGAGAATGTCTGTGCTAAATTAATTTGTTTTCTCTATAGAACTCAAACTGTGATGGTATGGATCAGGTAGATCTTTGGTTTATTTAGCCCACTCATCCACCTTCTTAAGTTTCTTTGACATGTCTTTCTCACCATCTGATAACCCTAATTCCTTTTATTTTTCTAGTTCTTTTTTGAAACCCTTGACAGTTCCTTGTTCCTTTGTTGGCATTGTAGTTTGTTTTACATGTTTATTATCCAGTTCCTGAAATTTTCTCTTACATTTCCCATTCGCTTTTGCTGTCCTTATTTTGAAGTTTTGACCCTATGTTATTGAATTTTCTAGACAGCAGAAAACATAGCTGCATTCTAAGTTTTTAAACCATTCATAATATCTAACGTATCTATCAAGTTCCTCTTTATTCGTTGTCTTTCTTTCTATGTTTTTCTTATGATCAGAGCAAGTCCATATTATTATAGGTGATTCAAAGGTTTCTTTATCTAGTGCAACTCCCATTGCTGTCAGCTGCTATGAAATATTCTATTGTGGTTCTGGATTGAATCTATTTTCTCCTTTGTACCTTTGCATTTCATATAGTGCCTTTCACATTGGGAGGATGTCCCAAAATGCTGAACAGGATTTACTGTGAAGTGGGGTATCTGGGTATTTGTATTGCAGATCCTGCAGAAGCCGAGTATGCCTGGGCATTCCATAAATTGTCACTAATGCCCCTTTATAACATTGCAGAAACCTAGTTAGTTCTTCTTGCTGCCTGCCACTTTCACTTTCATAATTTATACACATTCTTTGTAACATATAGCCAGTGTGGCCCTTATCACTAAAAAAAATACAATCACATGCTCCCCACTTCAGTACCTTTCTGAACTGTTAAAATATATGTGATTTTAAAGTGTGGCAAATTTCAGGATACAATTATCAGAGGATTAACAGAAAGCAGTTCCAGGGACTGAGAAGAGCAGGAAATCAATCTCAGTCTACACGCTTGAATAAACTAAATGAATGAAAGACCACTGAGTTAATCTGTACCCACGCATGTGGCATACAGTTAAGTCATTTGTAATCATGTGGCAAAACAATGAGTCATTAAAATGTAAATGTAGGGAGTAGATATCTTCTAGAAACAGTGGAAATCAAATCTAATTGCATCTAATTGCAAACAGAGAGTGGTGAAAATTAAACCCAGGAATCTGGAACAATGGATGATTGCTTCTTTCGTGTGAGAATCATAAATAATTATTGTTACTTTTCAGAAAACAACTTTGGTTACTCAGCCTGTCGGTGGCCTTGTTAATGGGCTTCCTTTTGCTCCAGGAACTGATTGATTTGGGAGCCACCGCTGCAAAATACAAGTGTAGATGTACATACTGCCTCCAATGTTAGGAATGATATGGCTGTTACTTCAGAAATTGACCACTCGCTGCAGTATTGGCACTGGTGGAAAGCTCCAAGTATACCTAAAGCAGCAATTGATCGAAATCCACCTCAGAACTTGGTCTGAGACTTTGCCCAATTTACCATCTGCATTAGCCATGAAATGACTCATCAGCTCTATTCAACCCCTCTCCAGTAGCACATTCTAAAACAATAGGCAATTTTGTTCACATCTCATATTGAATGAGCCCTTTGAAGCTCCTCCAAAATGTGAAACAATGATTTGTTCAAAGACCTTTTGCCAGGTGTGGGCGGACCTCTGAAACTGTTTATCTATAGAGGCCATGGAGGGAAAAACAGTGAATCTGAACAAGAAACCAAAAGAGAGTAAGGAGGTCTGCCTGCCTGACTGTTTTCTATATTGTGAAGAAAAGGTATTATCTCACAAATAGATAGTTGTATTTTTTATTTGGTTTAATATTTTACTAGTATCTTTAAAGTCTGTGTGTGTATGTATAAAACAACAACTTGAACTTATATAACACCCTCAACACAAGAGTCTCAGAGTGTTTAACAGTGGCGAAGCCTGACTCCGAGCCAGGGGGAGAGGGGTGGGAGGAGGTGTCGGTAAGCAAGGTCGAAAAGGAAGGTTTTCAGGCAAAACTTAAAAAGGGGAGAGAGGGGGTAAGGCAAAGCAATTGAGGGAGAGCATTACATAGTTTTGGGGTATAGTGGCTAAAAGCGAAACCTCCAATGGTGGGGCGGAGGGTGCAAGGGACAAGCAGGAGGCCGGTGCCAGTCGAGCGGAGGCACTGGGTGATGGATTGGGGAATGAGGAGGTCGGCGAGGTAGGGAGGTGCCAGAGAGTGAAGGGATTTGAACACGAGTGTGAGGATCTTGAAGTCATTTTGTTTGATGATGGGGAGCCAGTGGAGCCTGGCCAGAACTGGTGAGATGTGGGTACGGAGTTTGGTCCGGGTCAGTATGTGGGCGGCAGAGTTCTGAATGAGCTGGATCTTTTGAATTGGGGAGCTGGGGAGACTGGTAAGGAGTATGTTGGAGTAATCCAAGTGGGAGGTGACAAACGCATGCACAAGGGTTTCGGCTGCATTTGGGGTAAGGTACTTTCGGAGGTGGGCAATGGAAGAAGGGGTTCCTGATCAGGTACCAGATGTAGGGGAGGAAGGGCAGCTGGGGATCGAACCGGACGTCTAGATTGCGCATTGGTTCGGTGAGTGTGAGGCAGAGCCCAGGGAGGTTGAGAAATTCAGAATCGCAGGAGTGAAGACATTGACAGAATCCAAGAAGTATGTCTTGCGTCTTGTCCACATTCAGCTGCAGGAAGTTTGCACTCATCGAGGCCCTGATGTCTGCCAGACATGCTGATAGAACATCGGCGGACCTAGAGTTGGTACTGGGAGAGGCACGGTAGATTTGTGTGTCATCCACATACATGTGGAAGTTTACCCCATGTCTGCGGATGACATCGCCCAAAGAGAGCATATAGATAAGGAAAAGAAGAGGGCCAACGATGGAGCCTGGGATACCCCGCAGGTGACAGGGCGGGAGGAGAAACCATTGCCACGATGAAGTGGAGGCGGTTGGTTAAGTAGGGCTCGAACCATGTGAGTGCGTTTCCACTAAGGTGGATGAGAGAGGAGAGGCAGTGAAGGAGGATGGTGTAGTCGACTATATCGAACATGGCAGAAAGACCCAGGAGGACAAAGGACAGGGAACCCTGATAGAGAGGACGTCGTTTGTGACAAGTGCTGTCTCTGTGCTGTGAGCAGGGTGAAACCAGACTGCAGGGACTCGAGGAGGGAGTGGAGAGAGAGAAGTATGACTGAGGTTGACCTGCATTCCAGGACTTTGGCAATGAAGGGTAGGTTGGAAACTATGTATAAATACATAATATTTGTTAAATATACATTATTTGTATAACAGGGCACGTTTCCCGATTACCCATACTTTACCTTTGAGCGGAAACAATGAATGTTAGTTACCCAACTGTGTAGTGCATCATGACCTAGCCCAATCCAATTCTCACCTGATGTCCACACAATTCAAATTCCTGTAAGCATCAATGGAAGTGATCAGGAGAACTAACTCTGGCTAATGTTTTGCTATTCATAGGGATAGCAATGTGGCCCTCCGTGAAATACAACATCAACAACTTGCATTTTATATTTTATATTGCCCATTCAAGTCTGATAAATATCTCAGACAGGATTTAAAGACAGATAGAGGGAAGAGATGGAGGAATATAGGGAGGCAATTCTAGAGATTATGGGTACAGTTGCTGAAGGCTTGGCCACCAAGTCGGGTGGAGGGGAAAGGGTCATGCAGCAAGCGTGAGTTTGCCAAGCAAAGGGAGTGAACAGAAGAGTGGGGTCGAAGATAACAATAATCTTTGCATTTGATATAGAGCTTTTCACATCGGCAGAATGACTCAAACCAATTGCACACAGCAGTGTCCCACAAACAGTTGTGCCTTTTACATAGGGTAATCCCTGACTGTCCAGCACCTTGGGACTGCCTCCCAATGTGAAAGGCGCTTTACAAATGTAATTTTGTATCTTGTATTTTTGTAATGTCTTGGAGTGCTTCCACTATATATGAAGGAGCTATTTTAAAATGTGAAACTTGGTGAAATATCTTGGAAAAGAAGAATATTTTAAAGTTTTAAATATTTCACATTGTAATGTACTATGTTCAGAATTTTTCTGAATAGAAGTTATTTGATGACAAGCTTGTTCAGCTTAAAAAGTGATATTATTATTTATTATTATCTGAATGTTTTCAGTTAACATGAACATCAACAACAACAAAAAAAATTGCATTTATATAGCGCCTTTCACATCTCAAGGCACTGGACAGTCAAGGTTTTGAACCCAAGCTGGGGGTTGGAATCAAGAGGGAAGAAGGGTAGGAAGAGTGGGGAATTGGAGGGTGGCCGAAGTCATGGTCAAAGAGGAAGGTCTTGAGATGGGCATTAAGAGGCAAGGGGCCGAGGTTAAGAAATTCTGGGATGGAATTCCAGAGGGTGGGGTCAGAAAAGCTGAATGCCTGATTGCCAATGGTGAGTTGGGCAGGGCGGGGGACATGGAGCAGGCCAGTGACCACCAACCGGAGGGAGCAGACATGTTGGTATGGTGTTGGTAGTTTCCAGAGGTAGGGAGATGCATCAACAGCAACAACAACAACAAAATTACATTTATAGAGTGCCTTTCATGTCGGGAGGATGTCCCAAAGCGCTGAACAGTCAGGTGTCGGGGCCTGAGCATGGGGGAGGAGTGGTGTAGGGGTGAGGGAAGGCATGAGCTCAGAGGGCTTTGAAAGTGAGGACAAGGGTTTTAAGCTTGATCCTCTAGGGGATGGGGAGCCAGTGGAGCCCGGCAAGGATGGGGGTGATTGTTTCACGGAGCTTGGTCAGGAGAGGACACAAGCTGCAGAGTTCTGAGTAATCTGGAGCTTGTGGAGGGAAGGGTTGGGAAAGTAGGCGAGCGGGGAGTTAGCATAATCGAGGCTGGACATGACGAATGCATGGATGAGGGTCTCGGCGGACTGAGAGTTGAGGCAATGGCGGAGGCAGGCAATATTGCAGTGATGGAGGAGGCAGAATGAGTTATGGCACAGATGTGGGGTTTAAAGGATAGTTGAGGGTCGAACAGGACACCGAGGTTCCATGCTTGTAGGGAAGGTGTTCTTAACAACAACAACAACAAAATTACATTTATATAGCGCCTTTCAAGTCGGGAGGACGTCCCAAGGCGCTGAAACTCCATGGATGGGACAGAACTTGCTAATCAAATATTGGATTACGGAGAATTTTGGTTCTGACTTGTGAGGTTTGCAGAATTTGTTTTCGTTGGGGTTGATGTTAAACAATACAATATAAATTACAATGCAGTACAAATTTACATTTATATAGCGCTGTTCAATTGAGAGGAAGTCCCAAGGTGCTGTACAGTAGAAGGTTGAGGGGGGGAGGTTAGGGAAGGTGGCCAAAAGCACACTCAAAGAGGAAGGTTTTGAGGCTGAGCTTGAAGGAGGCGAGGGAAGGGGGAAGTCAAAGGGTCCTTGAATGGCGTTCCAGAGAAGGATCAGATACACCGAAGGTCAGACTTCTGATGGTAGGGCGGATGGGAAAGCGGACATGAAGCAACCTGGTGCTCTCTGAGCAGAGGGCGCAGCTGGGTATGTATGTTTTCAGTAGGTGACGGAAGTAGGGTGGGGTTTAAAGGTTAGGATAAGGATCTTTAACTCGATCCGCTGGGGACTAGGAACAGGATTTGCCTATGTGGACTACGGCCATGATCTACTTCCCACAATACATTAGGACAGGATTGAGGTCCTGGCAGCAGCCCCGGCCTCGCGCCTCTGTTGGTTGGGATTGTTTTGCAGCTCTGTTCTGAGGAGTTTTGATCTGCTCTCTTTGAGAGGGAACTGTACTGGAGAGAGGACGAAAATACAGTAACCGCACACATGCAAATCACCGAATATTGTTTTTGTGTGTGTGTGTGTGTGTGTGTGGGGGGGGTTTGCAGACAGAAGCAGCAGCAGTTTGTGTGAAGCAGCTTTAATAAATGGGAGGTTAGAGTTGAAAGGGGTGTGAGTGAGAGAGAGAGAGACAGGCAGTGAGGGGCAGTGGTGACAGGCAGTGAGGGGCAGTGGTGACAGTGAGGGGCAGTGGTGACAGGCAGTGAGGGCAGTGGTGACAGGCAGTGAGGGCAGTGGTGACAGGCAGTGAGGGGCAGTGGTGACAGGCAGTGAGGGGCAGTGAGGGGCGGCGGTGACAGGCAGTGACAGGCAGTGAGGGCAGTGGTGACAGGCAGTGAGGGCAGTGGTGACAGGCAGTGAGGGGCAGTGGTGACAGGCAGTGAGGGCAGTGGTGACAGGCAGTGAGGGGCAGTGAGGGGCGGCGGTGACAGGCAGTGAGGGGCAGTGAGGGGCAGTGGTGACAGGCAGTGAGGGGCAGTGGTGACAGGCAGTGAGGGGCAGTGAGGGGCGGTGGTGACAGGCAGTGAGGGGCGGTGAGGGGCGGCGGTGACAGGCAGTGAGGGGCAGTGGTGACAGGCAGTGAGGGGCAGCGGTGACAGGCAGTGAGGGGCGGTGAGGGGCGGCGGTGACAGGCAGTGAGGGGCAGTGAGGGGCGGCGGTGACAGGCAGTGAGGGGCGGCGGTGACAGGCAGTGAGGGGCGGCGGTGACAGGCAGTGAGGGGCAGTGAGGGGCGGCGGTGACAGGCAGTGAGGGGCAGTGGTGACAGGCAGTGAGGGGCGGTGAGGGGCGGCGGTGACAGGCAGTGAGGGGCAGTGAGGGGCAGTGGTGACAGGCAGTGAGGGGCGGTGAGGGGCGGCGGTGACAGGCAGTGAGGGGCAGTGGTGACAGGCAGTGAGGGGCGGTGAGGGGCGGCGGTGACAGGCAGTTGCCAGGCAGTGAGGGGCAGGAGGCTGCCGTGTTTGGGGGGGGGGCTGTCCTGGGGGCTGATCCCGGCCAAAGCCGCGATGGAAGGAGGAGAACACCAGGAGGAAACACTCCTGAGAAAACACCGCAAAGAGAGGAAGGACTTACAGGGTGAGAGGGAGAGGGAGAGACAGCGCCGCCCGACCGCCCGCCCGCAGGGAGAGGCCATCACAACCCCCACCCACACACCCGCCGTCACTACATTGCGACAGCGGCAGAGGGGCGGGGGGGCAGGGGGGGGGGGGAGAGGCCGGGGGGGGGAGGGGAGAGGCGGGGGGGAGGGGGGGGCAGGGGGGGGGGGGGAGAGGCCGGGGGGGGGGGGGGGGAGGGGGGCAGGGGGGGGGGAGAGGCCGGGGGGGGGAGAGGCCGGGGGGGGGAGAGGCCGGGGGGGGGGCCGGGGGGGGGGAGAGGCCGGGGGGGGGGGAGGGGGCAGGGGGGGGAGAGGCCGGGGGGGGGGGGGGGAGAGGCCGGGGGGGGGAGGGAGGGGGGCAGGGGGGGGGAGAGGCCGGGGTGGGGGAGAGGCCGGGGGGGGGGGGGGGGGGAGGGGGGCAGGGGGGGGGGAGAGGCTGGGGGGGGGGGGGGGGGAGAGGCCGGGGGGGGGGGGGGGGGGGGAGAGGCCGGGGGGGGGGGGGAGAGGCCGGGGGGCAGGTGGGGGAGAGGGGGGAGGCCGGGGGGGGAGGGGGCAGAGGCTGGGGGGAGGGGGCAGAGGCTGGAGGCAGGGGGGAGGGGGCAGAGGCTGGGGGGGAGGGGGCAGCGGCTGGGGGGGGGGAGGGGGCAGAGGCTGGGGGGAGGGGGCAGAGGCTGGGGGGGAGAGGGCAGCGGCTGGGGGGGGAGGGGGGAAGGGCAGGGTGTGGAGCCGGGGGTACAACAGCCACTGTGCGGGGTGGGGGCGCTGTGGGGGCAGGTACAACGCCAGGGATGAACACTGCAACCCCCGCCTCCCCCCCCCCACTGCGTCTGATCTGATACAGCGCCTTCTCGCGTTGTCGCATCATCTCAAAGTGCTTCCCGGTATTTACTGTAAAGGGGATTAACTGTTATGTTGTGTGTGAGCGGTGAGGAGGGGCTGCCTGACCAGCGGCAGCCTTGCCACATTGGTTCCTGAGGTTGACCCTTCATTGCGGGCAGCTCACGGTGAAGGTTCCCGAGATCGTCCGTCCGGCCGTCTCTCCCAACACCCTGTGATCTGCACCTCGGAGGAGACTTGTGCAGTCTCCTGCTCCAGTGCTGTAGTGATAACAACGCAACATGTGTACCATATTTGGGGGTCAGCCTGCCTCAGTTGGTAGCACTCTTGCCTCTAAGTCACAAGATTGTGGGTTCAAGCCCCACTTGCACAGCCCAGGCTGACACTAATACAGTATTTGTGGTGGTGCGGTGTGTAAGGGGGACTGTTCGTGCCAATACAGTTTGCGTATTTCCGCAACACAAATTATTTTGGCTGCAAAAGAGATTTTGCAAGGCAGTGTTTCACATCTTCCCCTCCCCACAACACATAGTTTGGACATTAAGGTTCCTACTTCTGCACAAGGCCTTCTTTTTCCCCAGCTGTTTTTGTGGCAAAAGTTTTTTTTTTACAAAATTAAAATTTGTGTGCGAGCGTTACGGGATATTTGTTGTGCACATTATATTCTCACAAGTTGAGATAAAGTTGAGAAATAATAGTCATTGCATTTGATATATAGTCTAATGTAAAAAGCGTACTTGCGTCAATGGAAGTTGCCCTCAAGTGTATTGGCTGTGTTTTTGTAGCAGATACAGGAGCCAGTTTGCATACCACAATGTTCCACCAAAAGCCCATGACTAACTTATCTAGGAATTGTTGGCAGCAAATGGGGAGAAACACTTCTCCTTTCGAATAGTGTCATGGGATCTCTAATGTCTACCAGAATAAACAGATAGGATTGATTTAACCTTTCGTCTGATGGACAGAACCTCTAAAAATACAAACCTTGCCATTGCTTCACTAGAGTGTCAGCCTGGACTGTGAGCTCAAAGTCCATACATAAGGCTTGAACCTACAAGCTTCTGACCCAGAAAAACTGTGCCTTTAAGCTTGCATTAATTGTTGGTATGGATGATTCTAGATTTGGTAGCATGTTTTGAGTATGAGGAGGGAGTGATTTCACACCGAGCAAATGTGTACCTTTCAAATGATTGTTGTGAAACAAGGATTGAGTCTGTTTGTAGAATGGTCCGTGGCTCTTGTTATTGTAAGTTTCTGGATAAAGTAGCACCAGCTGAAAACAGCATTATTGAAATATAAATTAGGGGAAGGAGAACATCCTTACACCGAGCTAACATGCATGATTCACTGTGTATGGTGCTGTTGACCATAGATAGGGTTTGTTTCAGATCAAGTGCTTAGTATAAGCATTCCAGCTGTAGTGAATAACAGACATCATTACAATCACTAAAATATTAGATATTTGGTGTGCAGATGCTGTCAGGGCAAACTGTGTTTTTACAGTGATTACAAAAACTGATTCTTGATGTTTGAATGGAAAGACAATTTGTTTTTTGAATTATTTAGTAAGTGTTACTATCGTCATTGTTGTATAGCTATTGCTTAGTACGGAACTTAGTTTTACAGACCAGGTTCTCAGTTAGGGCTGTGATTTGAGCATGATAATTGCCCTTATCATCTCTGGGCTAGGAAGAGAAAAGTAAGCCAGAATTCTTGCTGGAAAGTGCATGTTCATGAAAACATTGGATGCATATGGGATCAGGCTGACCTTGATGCTTACATTCTGACTCTCCCTGCCAAGGCAACTGAAGGGAAGAAGCACCTGATTGCAGCTGAACCTATTGCATTATATCTTCACAATGATCAGTATCTTCAGAAGCAGAGAGACAACATTGGAAGGGTTAGGAAACACGATTTATAAAGTTACAGAAATTAGATGCTGCTGCTGCCAAAGTATTTTGCCATTGACAAAATATTTAAGCACATTGTTCCTTCATTGCAGATTGACCCAGAAGTAGTTCATAGTTCACCAGGTGTTTAATCAGCAAACGTTCCAAATAGAATATGAAAAGATATTTTAACTAAAGGGTGATGGTGTTTTAAACATCTGATCAAATTTAAAGGTAGGAATTGATTCACTCTAGGATTTCTCATGGACTGGCATGAATCCTGCGGAATGATGCTTCAAACCAAGTCATAACTTAGTTTTGCAGTTCACTGCTTTATGTTATTTATTTAGGCTTTTTGATATAGAAGGATTGTAACATGTTAAATATTCACCCTTCACTTTCAATTGCAGCAAAAATACAGGGGATGAAAAATGGTGTCCCTAAAAATGACAAAAAGAGAAGAAAACAGCTGGTGGAAGATGTGGCGAAACTCGAGGCAGAGCTAGAACAGAGACATGAACAGGAGCTTGAGCAGCTCAATCAGCCCTTTGAGAAGTCAAGTACGGTAAGAGCACCATGTTCAGAGGCTCCCATTTTCCCATCAAAACTAATCGGGTAGAACAAACGCTTTCCTAGGATTACGATGCAAAATTTCTGGTTGGCGATGGTTTCAGCGATTCTATTCTGAACATAAAGGCTGCTCCATTCTTCTTGTTTGTTAATTGTATTTAGAATTACATAGAACATTACAGCATGCAAACAAGCCTTTCAAACTGACTAGTGTGTGCTAGTGTTTATATGTCACATAAGCCCCCAAGCCTCCTAATCCCCTCTCCCATACCTCTCTATTCTCTAAATGATCACATTCAATGGGACGGATGACTGAGAATGTTACAGCACAATTTTGCTTCATGATATGTTGCAAGCCTGCAATGTTTTACAGTCTTGAAATAGATTCCCAGTCATCTGTTGTGTCTGTTGGGTAAACAAAATGTGGTATACTACAGGTTAGGCAGCATCTAACGTACCTGTTCAGTTGGACGTTAATGATTCTATTTAAAAAGGAAGGAGTGCCTCCCGGTGTCCTGGCCAACAACCATCTTAAATTGATTAATGAATTGACCTTTCGCCTCCTGACTACGTGTGGAACCTTGTGTGGTGCATAAAATGGCCGCCTCATTTGCCAAAAAAAACACACTAGCCACGAAGTCCAGTACAGCCTCGATATAACACACAGGATTTTTGCTTAAAGCGGTTGCAACCTTTTTTCTCATTCAACATTGGATAATGTATCTTGCAAAGCAAATGTCTCAGTCGACTATTGTTGCCATTTGTTCACAAATCCTTGTTAGGAGAACTGTAGCAGTCGCTATGTAACATTCGTTTGTGTACAAAAGGCATCGAGGTAAAAAATTGTTCGTCTTCCGGGTAAGCAACCAGGGAGTGACGTTGGTGATGATGATCTGGAAGTTGGACATTTCTTCTTCGACAGGCGACACTGCTTGGAATGAGTCAGCCCTTTGCGTACACACACACAGTCAAACCTCCAGCACAGGTCCGGGATTTACGGCTCCCAAACACTGCGTTGTAAACGGGACTCTAATTACCATAAAAAAAATTGAGATGTCTTGACATTATCAAATTATTCTCTTTTTTTGAACCCGGGCCGAAATTTCATTGCGTTTACTCACTTCCGTCTCTCCATAGATGCTGCCTGATCTCCTAAATGTTCCCAGCGACTTCTATTTTTATTTCAGAATTCCAGCATATGCAGTATTTTGCCAACTGCTTTGGAGGAACTCATTTTCCCTCCCCTATCCCCTTCATTAAAATAGTTGCATCCAGAAGCTGATTGCTGCAACTATTGAAGTGACCAGAGCATTTTCAGTGTTTCATTGCCTGTTCAGGGATCACAGGATTTAAGTGCCTATGCGGGGGCGGGGGTCGCAGAGTTTCAGGATCTCACGGAAAACACCAAATTAGCAGGAGACATGAAAGGCTGCGATCAAATGGACCAATGGGCCTTCTTCACCTGAACCTCTTTTCTGATCGCAAGCGAGATGACCTGGGTTCGACTCCTGGGGAAGGCGAAATGTTAGGCAGTTTCCTTACTCCACATGCCTCTGTTTACCCAGCAGTAAGATAAGAACCCGGTTGTTAGTCGATTGGCGAATCACTTTTCTGGGGATAATAATCCCTTCAAAAATAAATAAATATAATAAATAAATAAAGATTTTGTCACTCAATCCACAACTGTTTATGGAACACCTCTGTGCGCAATTGACTGCTAACAAAATATACAGTTTATTCTGTGAAGGGGTTGGAGGCATCTTGACGATGTGATAAGGTGCTGTATCAAATTCAAGGATTATTATTATAATGTGATGTGTTTTCCTTTAGGTTGAATCTTTTACTAATGGAATAAAAAATTTAGAGCTGGAAGCCAGTGATGAGAAGGAAGCTAAGTCTCGAGTATCAAAGGCACAGAAAAGAAGGGTATGTTTCTGACTAAATATTTCAATTGCATTGTAATATACAGCAGTCACATGGCTTCAATTTTGGGCTTCAACAAAGCCCCAAATTGTTCATGAGCATTTTGGGGTTAAAATTGCAGAATTATATTAAAATGTGCTCCGAAATGTCTTTGTTATTCCCACTCCATCCCCAACTTTTACATAATAATAGTGCCTAAACACAGCTGAAAAATCTGCGGCTTCTCTATGTCTGTAGTTTTGGCAGCCATCGTTGTAGGCCAAAGTACGCACGTCAATTCTTCATTTTGGTACAACTGCATAGAATATAGCTTGGGATGACACTCCCATGCATTTTTCGGAGGTGCCATCCTTCAGATTTTTTTGGGGGGGCCGGAGGTGGTGGTCAGCCAAATGACGCATGGAAATCCATCACCATGTTTAAGAGTATCCAAGCGAAACTGAAGAAATCCATGCATTGCACCTCTATATTGGAAATTCCTGAAATATTTATTGAAATGGAATATGCAATTGCATCGCTTGCCAATGACAGCACTGTCTGGCAACCTTTCCTTCTGGGGTTTTGACTTCCAGGGTTAACAAGAGCTGAAAGGGAAGAGTCCCTGCCTCCAGTGACTGGCCTGTCCTTCCGAATTCTGTCGATGAGCCAGCCTGTTTGGGCTGTCATCAAAAGTGCGCTGGAGTGCAGTGGATCCACCTGTTTCAGGATCTCAACTACCGAGACCACCACAGAAGGTTGATGTTATATATAAGGATTGTTAGTTAGGATTAGAATACCAACCTAATCCAATGGTTAGTTTGGTATTCCAAGAACTGGGCATTGAAATAACTAGTAGCGCACATATGTTGAAACTATAAATCCTGGATTGGAAGCTTTCAAGGTTTCTTTGCAGGATGATGACCTAACTAATTCTATATCCTGTAAAGTAATATCTGAAAATCACTCCCAGGGGCAAAACAGCGGCTTCAGTAACTGCAAATTCAAGATGGCAACTTGCAAAAACTTTCAGGCAGATTTGGGCACTACCGTTGTTCAGAAGTCATTAGTACTTTAAAATGTTTTTTAAGACTTTTCCTTCAATAATGAACAATTGCATTTAGGAATTCTGTCCTTTTTGGTTTTTTAAAGTTGTTTGATTAGTTTGCACTCTGATTTCAACCCATATTTTTGTATATACAGTATAGTGTATGCTTATTATATAATGCTTTCATCCAGAAGCTTTTTTTAATTCAATTGCAAGGAAAGAAAAGCTGCACAGGATAAAGAAAGGGAAGAGAGAATAGCCGAGGCTGAAGTGGAGAACTTAAAAGGAGCCAGGCACTTGGAGAGTCAGAAACTTGCTGAAATCCTTGCTAAGAGGCACTTGCAAATAAAGCAAATCCCATCTGATGGCCACTGTATGTACAAAGCAACTGAAGACCAGCTGAAGAAACGAGACATCTTTTTAACACTAGCAGAGCTAAGGGCACAGGCAGCTGAATACATGAGGAGTCATGTAGATGATTTCCTGCCTTTCCTGACCAACCCTAATACAGGAGACATGTTTTCATCCGGTAAGTGTAACTGAAGCTCGTCATAAGCTTGAAGATACTTTTGTTTTGAAAATGTTTTCCTTCCGTTCCTTTGAAGGCACTCACTCCTATTGGGTGTGGCTTTGGCAGCTCTGAAGTCCCTGACAATTTTCTGTGCAGGAGGCAAAATTGGAAGTGGTGGTTGGGTTGTGGAGAGCATTCATAGCCGGGCTTCATCCTGTTGTTGCCCAACAGCAACAAGTGCACTTTCCAATAGGGTCACTGAATAATGATAAGGAGCAGAGCACGGCTTTTTTTTCCTTTCTCTGTTTTTCTCCCCCCACACTTCACCCCCCACCTGCACCCAAGTCATGATTGGAAACTTTGGGGATGTTTCTTGTCTTTCCCTTGTCTTCTCTTTCTCCTCCTCACCATTCTTACCTCCACCACCCTCCCCCTACCCCAATTCCAAGGCCACAGCACCCTAACTGCTGTTTTTTTCAAGATCAGCTTCTAGTCTGTAAAATTTGTACCACATCAGACCTACATTTTCCCAGTTGGCCATTGGGGGGAACACAGTTTGTTTTATCTGAAAACATTTAATCTAGAACTTATTGTGTTTGTAATGATTTCACATGTAGTGTATTTGTGTTGTACACTGTTATTTGAAATCATCAGCACACTATATATACAGTACCATGAAGGGAAGGGAAAATTAGATATCTTTGAGAAGTTTACAACAATTTGTAACCTTTTGCTTTTTAAATATAGAGCTGTAAGATAGAATCATTTATCAAACATCTTAATGCTATGATGGGAGGACAATAAGGTGGGTATTCTGAAGGGGCGAGATTGGATGGGCCAAAGAGTCTTCTTCATCCAAACTAATCTTGTGACTCTTTAGATTTTACGATTTAGTATAGAAGCTTTACAGAGCAAAAGCACAGGGACTTAATTTCTGTACTACCCCTCCTTTGACCCCCACACCCCTGCCAACCAATCCCACTGCTGAGATCCAGATAATAAAAAATCTATATTAAAAATAAGTGTAAAGGCCTAACTAAAATGTCTTTGTAAAACAAAGATATGAACCAGTTCTCTGGTGGAAATGATTGTCTAAACTTTTGTTTAAAAACGAGCTCCATTATTTTGTTTGACTTTTAAAAGTGTCTTTATTTCAGAGGAATTTGAAAAGTACTGTGATGAGGTGTCCAGCACGCCGGCATGGGGTGGACAGCTTGAGGTAAGGAGTAGTTTCTTGTTTGCGGTTATTTATATACTGTATTCATATCAACTTACAGCTCTTAAATTCTCCTGCTAAATCCAAATGAGTATACATCTGCTGCAGCAGAGAACACGAAGAGGGCAGGGTTGAATCCTGATTTGTGCTGAGATTAGCTACAATTGGCTGGAGTGCTCCCGGGTTAGGGAGGGGAATTCAGTCAGGATTATCTCATTATCCAGAGACCTGTTGTGCAGGGAAGTCAGAAAACAATAGGATAAAGCTCAGTTGTGTAGCCCTTACAGTTCAACAACCTGACAACACTGCTCATCACGACTTGCACAGAAATAGTAGCTCTGTGGGGAAAGTACCAGAGGGCAACTGGTCTTGAATCCACCAGTTATAATATCTAATCCTTGTATTTGATATAGTGCATTATCACACCAAAAGAACTTCCCAGGGGTTTCCATAAAACGTAGTGACCGTATTTGTAGGCAGCCAATTAGCGAACAGCAATGATCAACAAGCAGACATGAAGTGAATGACTACTTTTTATCTGGGGATTCTTGGCCAGCACATTGGGAGAAATTGCCTTCTCTTTTCCAATAGTGCATGGTTCTTTACCACCTGCCTGAACAGAACAGATCTTGGTTTAGCATCTCATCTGAAGGATGATGCCTCTGACAATGCAGTGCTCTCTCAGCACTATATTGGAGTATCAGCTAGGACTGTGTTCAAATTCCCAATGTGGGGCTTGATCCCACACCCTTTTAACCAAGAGGTGAGAGTGTTACCAGCTGAACAAGGCTGACACCAGGTTCCAAATATGCATTGGAAGGAGGAGAAAAAATGAAAATTTACATTTATATATAGCACCTTTCAAGTCAGTAGCATGTCTCAGGTAGTGCTTCACACAACTGACTGGGAGCCTGAACTGGAGGGAACTGAGGAGTGAAGGGGTAAAGGTTGCAATAGTTGATGGCAAGTTCTGAAGGTTGAGAGGGATCGGGTCAGATGGAGGGACTCCAGGATGGAGTTGCAGTGTTGTGGCAGAATTGCTGAAGGCTCGCCCACCGATGGTGGGGTAGAACACATGTCGGAAATGTGAAGAAAGACAGTGTTTGCTGAGTGGAGTACTCAGGATTGTCTGGTCACGGAGATTGATTGGGGTGAGGCAATTGAGGCATTGAAAATGAGGACAAGAATCTTGAATTCAATCTGCTGGAGGATGAGAGCCAGTGGAGCCGAGTGAGAATGGGGTTGTTGGACTTGCAGAGCCTGGCTTATGAAAGGACACAAGCTGCAGAGTTGTGGAACGTCTGCATTTGTATAGGGAAGAGCAAAGGGTTAAGAGTAATTCAGCAAAGCGTTAAGAGTAATTGAGCTTGGAGCTGGTGAAGATGTGAATGAAGTTCTGGGCGACTTGGGAAAAAGTTAGTGCTAGAGGGGGAGTGATGTTACAGAGATTAGGGAAAGCAGAGTGACTGAGAGCATGGATGTAAAGTGTGAAGGATAGTTGGATGTCAAACAATACTCCAAAGTTCTGCACCACCTCTGAGAGGTGGACTAAGCGTTGATGTGGTTAGTGCTGGAGATAAGGAGGTGCTGATGGGGGCCAAGCAGAACAGCCTCAGTCTTCTTGACATTCGGTCTTCTTGAGTTGTAGAAATTTAGAACTCCATCAGAACTTGATATCTAACAATCAGTCAGAAGAGCAGTGGTCCTGGAATCCAGGGTAGAGGAAGAGGGTTAGATTTCGGTGTCATCTGCTTACATGTAGAAGTGTACCCCATACCTTGCAGATGACTCTTAAGTATAGAGATGTTCAACAGGAGAGGTTTGGGTATGGAGCCTCGAGGAATGCTGCATGCGACTGTACAGGGGTGGGAGGATAATCATTGTAGGAGATGAAGTGACCAAGGTGTGTGTCTGTTTGTGTGTGTCGGGCGTGTTTCCCTGTGTTGCACCCATGCAAAAGGAAAAAGGAACTAGCAGGCTTAAATTGAGCTTGCAATTTTTGTTCTATCTTTACGTGTTGCTTCTGATGTGTTTTAAGTTGTGTGCCAATTAATGTTCTTTTTGATTGCTGCGATCATTTTATAATAATAATCCTTGCGTTTGATATAGTGTCTTATCCCGTCTTCAAGACTTCTCAAAACTTCTTAAAGTGAATTGACTATTTTGTGGGTGAAACGTGGCAGCCAATTGCGCACGGCAGTGTCCCACAAACAGTCGTGGATTGAGTGACCAAGTTATTTTTATTTATTTTGAAGGAATTATTATCCCCAGAGAAGCAATCCAGCAATTGACTAACAATCGCGTTTCTACTTACTGCCTGGTAAAAGAGGCGTGTGGAGTAAGGAAACTTGCCCAACGTTTCGCTCTGCCGGGAATCAAACCCAGGTCCTCTCGCTTGCGAGGCGAATGCTCTAACCATTGAGCTACAGGAATCCACGGTGGTTTTGGTGGTTATAATTTTATATTTGCTGTTGTGTCAAATGTTGCACTTGGCATCTGTGTCACTTTCCTAATTTCTTCAGTTTGGTCAGTATGGCTGTGTATTCACCAAGCTAGAGATACAATGTCCTTCTTACTTTCCATCCAATCAGGTGGACCAAAATGGTCTCTTTTTTTTACATTTCTATGTTGCTATTTACTCTCCTTATTCATACTGTCTCACAGTTTTCAGGGATCCATTGATAAAACGGATAAAGCACCACCAATGTTTGACTTGTTTTAAATCACTCATTAAATCATCTGTCACCACATGGTTTTCATTCCATTCTGAAGGATAAATTACAGAGCACATCCCTCAATTGGCTACATGGCTTTGGCAACATTTTAAGTTTTGTTTCACGATGCTTGTTGATAATGAAAATCTCAAATTCTAATATCTCTTACAGTTGAGAGCTTTATCACATGTTCTGAAAATGACAGTGGAGGTTATACAGGCAGATTCCCCTCCAATAACAATAGGTGAAGAGTACAGAGGGACACCAATCATTCTAGTGTAAGTATCTTGAGTGCTTATTGCTTGCTATAATATGTGCAGCATATTGTGTTTATGCATCAAACTGAAAAGTGTGAATAATGTTTGATAGGTAATATGTACATAAGAGTTTCGTAACACATTTGCATATTATTTCAGTACAATAATAATAATCCTTGCATTTGATATAGTGCCTTATCACGTCTTTGAGACACCTCAAAGCACTTCACAGAATATACTGTAAAGTGAATTAACTATATTTTGTGGGCAAAATATCCCAAGACAATGGTCCAAGGCAGCACACTTCCTGGGTTTTAGAGGGTGCAACAAGAAAGCTTGGGCAGCTGCTGTAATAGACAAAAATTCCTCCAAATTGGCCAATCACTTCATGGTTGTTTGTGGGACATTATTGTGCACAAATTGGCTGCTGTATTTTCCTATAAATATAGTCACTTCAAACAATATTCTTGCAGTGCACAGGGCAGGTGTCTTTGGCACAGTAGGAACTGAAAGAGTTTATCACCATATCAGTCATCATTAGTACATATGCTATAATTAGCTTCCAATATTTTGTCTCCATTATTATAGAACTCAGTAGAAATTATACTTTCACCACAAGGAGGAGATACCTTTTGTAAAACAAATTTACATGCCAAAATAATCGTGGATAACAGTAAGGGAAATTGAACAGCAAGTCAAGATAGTGTGGCTTTCCTGATCACAATGTGATATTGAAACAGGGCATGATGTGCTATGTGTCACTGTCTAATCTGACATCAGCAAAATAGAACTGGTTAGCTGAACTGTACCTATACTGCATATTAAACAGAAAAACAGGTTGAAGTGTGCTTCAGGACTTCATGTATTTTGGGAGTTCAGAAGACACTGATCAGCTGCCTAAAATTTGCTGTTTGAATTCCAATCTGGTAAAACACAGCAGCCAATGTGTCACCCTAAGTTAATATCTGGACGTGTGTTTTGAAGCTCTTTCGATTGCTGTAAAAACTATCATGTTCTGTGCATTCTTGATGATGTGTTAGTTTTTTTAAAAAACAAATTCTAATTCACAGGTATATGAGACATGCATATGGATTAGGAGAACATTACAACTCTGTAGAGCAACTGACCGACAAACCAACAGAAGATCCATAATAAATATTGCAGTATTTTTCCATCTGAATTTTCAGTTTTTACATCTTAAAGTATTTGGACCTTTTCAGTTTTTCCATTTTTCTGTATGGGCTGAAAAAATTGTTTATTTGGATTTTGATTTCTCTGCTTCGATGGATGATTCAGTCAGGAGAAGATGAGGAAGCTCCAGTTGATGTAACGGAAGATGAATGAAGATTTATACATTCATTACTTAATCTGTTCACGAGCTTTGGTAATTCCAGTCATCTTGCTGTTTCGGTATATGCTGTGCATATTGAGACAAAAAAAATTGTAGATCCAGAAAGGAAAAGGGATGAATCCACTGATTTTCTCAGGCCTGTTTTAATTTTTCCAGGAACTTTACAGTAAAAAGAGGTTGTCAAGTTCATTTGTTTAATTGTATTTAACACTCAGCACCATGTCACAAATGTGCTAAACTTATATATTTATTGGTGCCATTGTGAAAACAAACTCTGGTGAAATGCAGATTTTAACGGTGCGCACGTCTTGGTTCGATCGTACAAGATTTTATTTTCAGGGATGACTTTGAATTGAAGCAACAATAAAAGGTCAATGTATCAGTTCTTTGTTTTGGCCAATTTACTCAAACAATTTATCTCTCTTTTCTGAAGGCATCTAATTCCTTTTTTTCCTGCTTTGGAGTTCCACAGGTTCATGGTGTCCGTGGGTGTCGCTTGATTTTACATTTAGAAGTGACTTCATTAATTGTGTTTTGTGTGGGGAATCTCCCCCATTTTATTTTCAATTGTGCACATGATATTGTCATAATTGTCGGATACTGCTGACTGGCCGACTGCATTAACCCAGAAAAACAGCTTCTCCAATTCAAATGCTCAGCCCAGCATGTGGTTCTGGAACGCAGGGCTAACATGGCACAGATGTGAAACTGATTGAGTGCTCTGTGAAGTGAACAGAATTGGCAGTAGAAGCCAACTTCCACTGAGGAAGGTAACACAAACAGCCAAATGCACTAGGGCCCGGTTACAATGAAACAACCATTTCCTTTATGGTCATTGCTTTGAATGGGCAGAGCCATGATATTGTGCTTGTCCCCCAGTGAGCAATGTGTACAGGATGGCACAGTGAGGGTGTACAGGGTGGCCCAGTGGGGGTGTTCAGCGTGGCACGGCAGGTGTGTTCAGGGTGGCGCAGTGAGGGTGTATAGGGTAGTGCGGTGAGAGCGTACAGGGTGTCGCGGCAAGTGCGTAGAGGGTGGCGCGGTGAGTGGGTACAGGGTGGTGAGGTGAGCGCGTACAGAGTGGCAGAATAAGTATGTACAGGGTGGCGCATTGAGTGTACAGGGTGGCGCTCTGAGTGTGTAGGTTGGGCGCAGTGAGTGCATACAAGATGGGACAGTGGGTGTACAGGGCGGCATGGTGGGCGTACAGGGCAGTCCGCAGCGCAGTGGGCGTACAGGGCAGCGTGGTTGGCGTACAGGGCGGCGCGGTGGGCGTGCGGTGAGCATACAGTGAGCATACAGGGTGGCGCGGTGAGCGTACAGGGTGGCACGGTGAGCGTACAGGCGGTGAGTACAGCGTGGATGATGAGTACAGGGTGGCACGGTGAGTGCACAGGGCGGCACGGTGAGCGTACAGGGTGGCGCGGTCAGTGCAGGGCGGCGTGGTGAGCGTGCAGGGTAGCGCCGTGAGCGTGCAGGGTGGCGCGGTGAGTATAGGGTGGCGCGGTGAGTACAGGGTGGATGGTCAGTGTATAGGGTGGATGGGCAGTGTACAGGATGGATGGGCAGTGTACAGGATGGATGGTCAGTGTATAGGGTGGATGGTCAGTGTATAGGGTGGATGGTCAGTGTATAGGGTGGATGGTCAGTGTATAGGGTGGATGGTCAGTGTATAGGGTGGATGGTCAGTATATAGGGTGAATGGTCAGTGTATAGGGTGGATGGTCAGTGTATAGGGAGCTGTGAAGGGCAGTGTGGGGGGAGGAGGGAGTGGCTGACGTTGCCATGGTGACGTGTTGTTGCCTGGAGCCGTTGCCATGGAGACCGGGGCCTGGTGACTGGCGATGGCGGAACTGGTGCTCCGCGCTCTCAGAGGCAACTCCACGTCCCTGAATCTGACCAACAAGCAGCTGCAGCAGGTGCCGATCGCAGTGATCAAACTGAAGGCACTGAGGACACTGCGAATCAGTAACAACTACCTCATCGACCTGCCCCCCGAGATAAAGACACTGAGAGAGGTCAGCCCGACCCCAACCCGACCCCAACACCAACACCAGCCTGAGCCCCGACCCCAACCTGTACCCCAGCCCCAACCCGACCCCAACCTGTACCCCAGCCCACACCCAGCCCCAACCGCAGCCCCAGCCTGTACCCCAACCCCAGCCCCAACTCCGCCCCAACCCCAGCCTGTACCCCAACCCCAGCCTGTACCCCAACCCCAGCCTGTACCCCAACCCCAGCCTGTACCCCAACCCCAGCCTGTACCCCAACCCCAGCCTGTACCCAAACCCCAGCCCCAGCCCCAACCCCAGCCCAACTCCGCCCCAAACCCAGCCTGTACCCCAACCCCAGCCCCAGCCCCAACCCCAGCCTGTACCCAAACCCCAGCCTGTACCCCAACCCCAGCCTGTACCCCAACCCAGCCTGTACCCCAACCCCAGCCTGTACCCCAACCCCAGGCTGTACCCAACCCCAACCCCAGCCCCACCTGTACCCCAACCCAGCCTGTACCCGAACCCCAGCCCCAACCCCAGCCTGTACCCCCAGCCCAGCCCCAGCCCCAGCCTGTACCCCAATCCCAGCCCCAACCCCAACCCCAGCACCCCCAAACCCAGCCCATCCCCAGCCCCAACCCCAGGCTGTACCCCACCCCAACACCAGCCCTTACTTCAGCCTCAGCCTCAGCCCAACCCCAAACCCAGCCTGTACCCCAACCCCAGCCTGTACCCCAACCCCAGCCCCAACCCCAGACTGTACCCCAAACCCAGCCTGTACCCCAACCCCAGCCCCAACCCCAGCCCCAGCCTGTACCCCAACCCAGCCCCAACCCCAACCCCAGCACCAAACCCAAACCCAGCCCCATCCCCAGCCCCAACCCCAGGCTGTACCCCAACCCCAACACCAGCCCTTACTTCAGCCTCAGCCTCAGCCCCAACCCCAAACCCAGCCTGTACCCCAACCCCAGCCTGTACCCCAACCCCAGCCCCAACCCCAGACTGTACCCCAAACCCAGCCTGTACCCCAACCCCAGCCCCAACCCCAGCCCCAGCCTGTACCCCAATCCCAGCCCCAACCCCAACGCCAGCCCCAGCACACCCAACCCCAGCACCCCCAGCTCCAACCCCAGCCCCAACGCCAACCCCAGCCCCAACGCCAACCCCCAGCCCCAACGCCAACCCCAGCCTCAAACCCAGCCCCAACGCCAGCCCCAACCCCAGGCTGTACCCCAGCCCCACCACAGCCCCAACCCCAACCCCAACCCCAGCCCCAACCTGTACCCCAACTGCAACCCCAACCCCAGTCCCAGTCCCAGCCCCAACCTCAGCACCAAACTCAACCCTAGCCCCAACCCCAGCCCCAACACCAGCCCCAGCCCCAAACCCAGCCCCAGCCCCAACCCCAACTCCAACCCCAACGCCAGCCCCAACCCCAACCCCAGCCTGTTACCCAACCCCAGCCCCAATCCCAACCCCAGCCCCAACCCCAGCCTGTACCCCAACCCCAGCATGTATCCCAACCCCAGCCCCAACCTCAGCCTGTACCCCAACCCCAGTCTGTACCCCACCCCCAACCCCAACGCTAGCCTGTACCCCAACCCCTGCCTGTATCCCAACCCCTGCCTGTACCCCAATCCCTGCCTGTACCCCAACCCCAATCCCTGCCTGTACCCCATCCCCAACCTGTACCCCAAACCCAAGCCCTGCCTGTACCCCAATCCCTGCCTGTACCGGAACCCCAACCCCTGCCTGTATCCCAACCCCTGCCTGTACTCCAACCTCTGCCTGTACCCCAACCCTAAATCCCTGCCTGTACCCCATCCCCAAACCCCTGCTTGTATCCCAACCCCAAATCCTGCCCATACCCCAAACCCTGCCTGTACCCCAAACCCTGAATACTACAACCCCAAACCCTGACTGTACCACAACCCCAAACCCTGACTGTACCCCAAAATCTGACTGTACCCTGACCACACACTCTATACCCCGACCTCTGACTCTGGACAAGGTAACTGAGAATTGCTTTCGCCTTCAAGAAAGCTTCTGTATTCCATTTTCTCTTATTTGTTTTTATTGCAGTATTGCACCAATATGTCATTTGGGTTTGAACTCCTCAACCACCCCGGGCTCTCCCTCAGACTCACCAAACCCATGCGCAACTTAGGTGTCAGGTTCAATCCCAAGCTTTCCTTTCTACTCCACATCCGTTCCCTGACCAGGACCGCTTTGTTACATCTCGGTCACGTTGCCCACCTCACTCCGTACCTCACAACCAACGCAGCCGAAACCCTCGTCCACACCTTTGTCACTTCCCGGATGGACTATTCTAATGCCCTCCTCGCTGGTCTTCCCAACTCCACCATACACAAAATCCAGTTAATTAAAAAATCCACTGCTTGGATATTCACCCACACAAAATTCCATGCCCCAAACATACCAGTCCTGACCAGGCTCCACTGGCTCCCAATTACTGAACTGATCGACTTCAAGATCCTCTCACTCGTTTTCAAATCCCTTCATGCCCTCACACCTCCCTAACTATCAGACCCGCTTACCCCCCACTCCACCACCCGATGCCTCCGCTCCGGTCTCCTATTTGTCCCTCGTGCGCTCAGTTCCATCAGTTCCACCATTCGGCCCGAAACTCTGTAACTCTCTCCCTCAATCCCCTCCGCCTTGCCCACTCCCTCCCCACCTTCAAATCCCACCAGAAGACCTTCCTTTTTGATCGTGCTTACAGTCACCTCCCCCTCCTTCTCCCCCTGGCTTGTTGTCAGACTATGTCACTGTCAAGTGCTCGAGGACCCTACCCCGAGTCAAGGGCGCTATACAAATGCAAGTTGTTGTTGTTATTTTTTGTAATATGTGGAGATCTATGTAACCATTCTGTAGTTGACAGAACTCAATTTGGGAAATAACGCCTTCCAACATGTTCCAGAGGTTTTGTTTCACATGATATCACTGCAGAAGCTCCAGTTGTATGGCAACTTGATTTCCGAAATAACCTCAGGCCTATTTGGTAAGTTTTTACAGCAGTGTTTATCATTTTGCAATTTCTATTAATTTTTCCTCCTCAAATTTTCCATCTTCTCTCCTGAAGTTGCTGGAAACCCCTTTGTCCAGCAGCAGCCACATTGACTGCCCTATCCCCCATTATCACCGCAAGCCCTGCTGGACCCAGACCCTGGGGGCCAAATTCTCCTCCCTCATCTGCATTTCCATTCTCCCTGCCAATCACTCCATTACCCCTTCCCGTCTCACACATTCCCCTTGCAACTGTCCCCTCCGCACCAGTCTACAAAATGTCTGCTCCCTCTGCAACAAAGCTTGGACCATCAATGACCTCATCGTTAATGAAAATATCAATATCATGGCCCTCACTGAAACCTGGATCATCCCAGGTAACACCTTCCCCCACACCACCTGGCTATACCTCTCACTATACCCCACATCCCAACTGCCGTGGTGGGCGGTGGTGTGGACCTCATCTCCAGGACATCACTTACTCTATCCCCTTACTGTTCTGACTCATTTCCCTTGTTCGAACACCTTACACTCTACCATCCCTCCAATCTTTCCCTCAAAATTCTCCTAATTTACCCTGCCCCCGAAAAACCTCCCCCACCTTCATTTCTGACATCTCCACCCTTTGAGCTTCCCTCTTCCTCCGTTCTGAACACCTCCTCATCCTCGGCGACTTCAACTTTCACTTCACCCCTTCCTGCTCCATCAGCTCGGATTTCTCTCTCCTCTCGTCTCACAACCTCTCCCTTCACATTCACTCTGCCACCCATGTTCATGGCCACCCACTCGACCTGGTGATTACCTAAGGACTCGGATATCACAATCATAGACAAAGTCATCTCTAATCACCATTTCATCTCCTTTAACTCCTCAATCCCTCTCCCCATCACCACCAAACCCATCTCTTACTGCCCCTGAAATGGAAAAAAATCTCCATGCTATCACTCTCCACTGCCCTGAAGTCATCAGAACTCCTCCCCCTCTCGCCTACCTCCAGCACTGACTTATCCTTCTCGCTCACTCTCTTCCACAACTCCCTCTCCACCACTCATGATACCCTTACGCCCCTTACCTCCCAAACCACTTCCTACTCACGAATCTTACCCTGTTATACCAGCCACCTTCGCTCCCTCAAGAGTCAGGTGTGGGCCTCTGATCGCATCTGGCTCAAGTCTGATCTAACAATCCAACGGCAGATCCGACTGAACTACATCAAAATGTACTGTTCTGCCCTTGCCTCTGTCAAATCGTCCTTCTACTCCAAGATAATCTTGGAGGCGAAGAACAACCCCAGGCTCCTATTCTCCACCACCAACCGGTTCCTCCGTCCACTCTCCCATTCCTTGCCCATTCTCTCCTCAAGCTCTGACTATGAGGAGATGCTGGAATCCCTCAAGTCCAAAATCGAATGGATCCATTCAGCTGCCTCCACTCTCCCAACTGCCACTCCCTCCCCATCTCCCCCCCACACTCCGACCCATACCCATCCCTCCCTCCACATTTTTGAACCTGTCTCCCCCTCCTCTCTCATCACCACCATATCCAGCATGAAACACACCATCTGTTCCCTTGATCCATCCCCACCCTTCTCCTCACCTCCCAGGTCCACCTCCTCGCCCCTCTACTCTCCGACACCATCAATCTCACTATTATCTGGCACGGTTCCCATCACTTTAAAAACAGCTATGATCACCCCCATCCTGAAAACTTTCCCTGAAACCATCCCTGCTTTCTAACAACCAGCTCATCTCCAACCTCCCTTTTCTTTCCAAGGTCCTTGAAAGAGACGTTGCTTTCCAGCTTCGCTCATTCCCCTCCTACCACTCCCTTCACGAGCCTCTCCAATTGGGTTTCCGTGCTGCTCACAGCACGGAAACTGCTCTGGTCAAGGTGACAAACGACATCCTGTCCATCTGTGACCAGGGCTCCCTTTGCCTCCTTGTCCTCCTCAACCTCTCTGCTATCTTCAACACCATGGACCACTCTATCCTCTATCCTCCTCCACCACCTCTGATCACCTCAATCTTCAAGATTCTGTCCTTGAATGGTTCAGGTCTTATCTCTCACACTGTCTCCAATTTGTCTCCCCGTAAACGGTTTCTCTTCCAGTCCCTGCACAGTTTTGTGTGGTATTCCTCAGGGCTCTGTCCTCGGTCCCCTCTTCAACCTCTACATGCTCCCCCTCGGTGACATCATCTGTGGGGTCAGCTTCCACATGTACACGAATGACACCCAACTCTTATCTCTCTGCCTCCACCCTCAATTCCAGGACAACTGACGTCCTGACAGACTGTCTGTCAGACATCAAGTCCTGGATGAAAGCCAACTTTCTACAGCTGAATGTCAGCAAGACTGACGCCTTCCTGATTGGCTCATGCTAGCGCCTCAGGACCTCAGGTACTGGCAACATCAGCATCCATGAATGCACACTCTGTCTTACCAAGCCAGTCAGGAACCCGGGCGTTTTGTTCAACCCTCAATTGTCTTTTCTCCCCCATATCCATGCCAAGGCCAGCTCTGCCTTCCCCCACCTCCACAACATTGCCCGACTCCGCCACTGCCTTACCCCTCAGGCTGCCGATACTCACATACATGTATTCGTCACCTCAAGGCTTGACTATGGAAACTCCCTCCTTGTCAGCCTCCCCAACTCTTCCCTCCACAAGCTGGATATCATCCAGAACTCTGCTCCCTCCGTTCAGCAGGCTCTGACCTACTCCAAGTCGCTTGCCCGACCCACCCTACCATCGGTGGCCAGGCTTTCAGCCTCTTTGCCCCCACCCTTTGGAACTCCATCCCACAATCCCTTCGCCTTTCTCCCTCTCTGGTATCTTTCAAGGCATGACTTAAGACCCACCTTTTCAACCTTGCCTTCAGCCGCCTTCCTACCTCTCTGCCCTCCCTCATCCCCACCGTGCCCCCCCACCCTCAGGTCCTGATCCCTGACTGTTCAGCGCCTTGGCACATCCTCTTGACGTGAAAGGTGCTTTACAAATGTAGTTTTGTTGTTGTACTTTTCTTAAGTATCCATGTGCAGCTGGCTTTACCTGCATAGAGAGGCCATAACATCCAAGCTTGATCCTAGTTTTGTGTGATGCATACCATTTACACCAGGAGTAGTAGAGAGAAATAAAGAGTGGAACATTACTTCCTTTGCTTTCTCCCTGAGGTGTGTCCAATCCCTTCTGCATTAGTCTCCATGAGATCATCCTTGCCAGGCTCTATCACCTTCCTATTCTCCAGTGGAATCTTCACTCTTACCAGCAAATGCCTCTACCACCTTGTCTTACACAACCTCTGCAATCTTCTACAATACTTCCCTCCCATGCACTTCCTCTATATTGTCACAATTGTCAGATACTGCTAGACTGCCTGACTGCATTAATCCAGAAAACATTTCCCAAATTCAAATACTCTGCCCAAATTGTGGTTCTGGGGTTCAGAGTAAGCATCGAACCTTTGATCTGTCACATCCCCACTTCCCTCGGCTTCCACCCTCAGCTCGGATACGCAGCCAGGATTGTCAAGGGCCTTGGGATGTCCTCTTGACGTGAAAAGCACCTATTATAAATGTAAACCTTTATTGTAATTTTTATTCTAGTATATGAGGGCATAAATCTGAAGGTCGAAAAGTGCCCCCTGAGCTAGAACTTTAAAACATGAAAAACATATGGGAGAGCAGAGTTTGGGTTGTTAACCTAAATTCACATGTTCCTACCAAACAAGCTGAGACCTGCTAACCTTTAGAGTCCATCCTTGCTCTCACTATCTTTTTTGTGTCTATATTGTGAATACTATTATGATTATCATTTCTCCCAACTTTCCTCTTTCATTCTTCCCTCGGGTTAAATACACTGTTCCAAACATCCTCTTCTCTGCCATCTCTAATTCCAAATAAATTTCAGCACACTACCTTTTTCTTCAGCTCATTGGTTACCAGGATCTCATGACAGGAACGCCTTACTTCCCTTCCTTTTATGGAATGCACATACAGTATTTTGAAAATCCGCATCTGGAGCCCCACACTATTTAACTTCTTGTGTATCTCTGTTACTCTTCAATTTCAGTAGTGTACTACACAGTTGATCTCGGCTCTTCACCTAGTCGCTAAATAAATAGAGATTTGGAAATGAATGATGTTCATACTCGTGCGAAAAGAACACAGATGTTTGAACTCTCTCAATAGCATTGCCACAACTGTTTACATTTATAGAACTACTTTCATGTTGGAATGTCAAAAATCACTTCACCCAACTGTCTGGGAACCTGTGGAGGGGCAGTGTATAGGTACTCTGGCCAAAAGGGCAGTTGAAGATAGTTCTTAAGGTGGGTTTTGAAGACAGAGAGGGAGGCAGCAATGTGGAAGGACTGGTAGATGGAGTTCCAGAGAGCGAGAGGCTGAAAGCTCCTCTGCTAATGGTGGGACAAATCGAGTAGGACACAAAATGCAGGCTGTTATTTGCTGAGCGTAGCGAGGGACCAGAATAGTAGACTCACGGAAGTAGTAGTGTGGGATATGACGGTGCAGGGATTTAAAAATGAAGTCACGGATTTTGAATTTGATTTGATAGGGGATTGCGAGCCAGTGAACTTGGTGAGGGTGGGGATGGTGGTTACAGAGTCTGGTGCGGGCAGACTTCTGAATTAGGAGGAGCTAGGAAGTCTGCTGAGCAGGGCTTTAGGGTAGATGATGAATATTACTTTTTGCCAATTAGAATTCAAACATTTTTGTATTTCAAAACAATTATATATGAAAACAATGTTTAATGATGGAAATTAATTTTTCTCAATTTGGAACAAATTGGAAACTTGTGAATGGTGATATTTATGAATTACAATTGGAAGCTGTGAAGCCCACTCCTGTTTTTTTTATTGGTTAGCGAGGTTAGGCCTGCTCACCCCCATTAGCCGAATTAAACCGAAATGTTCAATTTAGGGAATGAGGGTTGTCCCCACAGACGAGCTCCAATTACTCCATAAATTCTTCTAGGCTCCAAATTGTCAAAGGACAATGTGGACCTGAACCATGGCTTTGCGACCACCCAAGCAATTTAGGTGACCGGATCGCTCGGCCTGTGCCCAATGACCAAGTGTTCAAACGAGCTCTGCGTTCCAGTGTCTCCGCTTCCTCTTCGTGAGGACAGATCACACTCCTCAGATCAGAAGTACTGCATTCCAATCCCAAGGTCGCTTCTTGGCCTTTTGGCTAAGATCAAGTGTAGTAACTGTTCTTATCAGTTACACCTTGAGATAGCAAATACCAGAAAAGTTCTCCTGTTGAATTTCGCTTGTGAGATACAGTCATGACCAAATCTCACCCATAACTGGGACATTATGGGAAGGATTGAGCTCCTGGCAACAGCTATTTGACCCTCTGAAGCCTACGCATGTTTTACATCTGGCAGCTGGTGAATGCCTCAAAAGTAAAAGCACCTGCACAGAGTGCTCAGAATGAGCTTCCTGCATCAGCTCAGATTTAGGAAGCAGGAAGTGGTGATGCTGCAGCGCAGGCAGAGTCTGAACCCACTACTTGGCTCTAAAGTAAAGTTAAACTAAGCTAATTAAGAGAACGAGCAGTGAGCTGCTATTATTCCGAACTGAGTGCTGTACAGAAGCAGTGTGAGGAATGGCCTTTGATCAATATTGCCCTAACAGTCTGCAGCTTAGATGGGATGGGGAGAACAAAATCAAACCTTCATTTTTTCATTCCTTGGCATTATAAATTGTTGCTCAAGCTCACAACCCCCCCACCCCACACTATAAAATTATTTGGGCAGTTCATTTGTGAAGAGCATTTACTTTACAGCCAACATACTCTATATGCTTGTGTGAAAATTGTAATTGCACAAATATAGAAGAGCAGCTTGAGTAGCTTCATTATCAAAATGACACTCAACAGCAACTAAAGAGGCAAAAGGTGTGAAAAGAACTTGAATAAACGTGCTGCTAGGATGAACCTAAAATCAATTTCTTAAAACCAACCACGAGAGGGCAATACAATACAAAAGCTCACACTTGGAATCAGTGCCGTAAAATTTATTCTGTCTGTGCTAAAGAAGCAATGCTGAATTGAAGAATATTTGGTGTCTCAATTGTGCCTGTAGAGTAATGCTTATCCTAATCAATGTCAGTGAAAGATAGAACTTGCGTTAATACGTATCCTTGTAAGTGGCTCTGTATGCTTTGCAAACTACCCCTCCCTGACTCCTACATATGAGCTGACAGCATCAATCACAGTCTGAGCTTGTGGTTTGCACAGGTATGTGTATTCGTGCAGTAAGGAACGATGCTTTTGAGTTTTGAAGGAAGTTGGAGTGTGCAGTGTTTGCATACCCTTTCACTGGCCACACATTCTTAAATCTCCTTATTGATGAAATCTCTAGGGAGGGGAGTGTTTGTTGTGAGAGTGCAGCAGTCACTTTTTTTGAAAATATATATTTATTTATAAATATAATATTTAGTACAACAGAATTCCTAAATAGACACAACGTATAACATCTTTTGTTACAATATTTTCCTTTCTCCTGATACAAAAAACATTCTGTTTACTGCAAATAGGTTATACATTCCTTCACCGCAAATAGGTGTGCATAGTTTTTTGGGACGCTCCATTTAAAACAGTCGGGAGTCACTCCTGTGTACACTAGATCCATGTGTGCGCCCGCGCACACCCTGATAAGGTGCACTTGCCACTTTCAGAAGGAGCCCTGATGTGCACCGTACACGCACATGTTTACATGTGCATACATACATCTTCGGGACGTTCTTTGGTTATCTATCAATTACAATTGGAAACTGAAGCCCACTCATGTTTTTCTTATTGGTGAGCGAGGTTAGGACTGCTCACCCCCATTAGCCGAATTAGACCAAAACGTTCAATTTAGGGAATGAGGGTTGTCCCCGCAGACAAGCTCCAATTACCCCCTAAATTCTTCTATGCGCCAAATTGTCAAACGACAATGTGGACCTGAACCATGTCTTTATGACCACCCAAGCAAGTCGGGTGACCGGATCGCCCGGCCTGTGCCCAATGACCGAGTGTTCAAGCTAGCTCTGCGTTCCTGTATGAATAATAGTTTGAATATTTTTAGTGGTAATGCTACATTGATTTATTAGTTTCAATTTTTCTCTCTTCTGAAAGGTGTTGACATGCTGGGTCAGAGAAAGGAGACATGTGGAAAAGAAAATCAGTATTGGATCATCACAATCGGCTCTTATTTTCTAAGTTAATTTGGATATGACTCCTTTCTTTCTCATGTTTTTGATTTATTAGTTTTGAGAAAGAATTTCTGCCTACATTCTTTCCTTCATTTTCTTTTCTAAGGTTTCTTTGGGCAATGTAGCATACATTGAATGATGTGCTCTCATGCTAGAGGCACTCTGAAGCAGTGAGGTTCATGCTTTAAGTAAAATTTCCTTTGCTCCTTGTAAGAAACAGCTTCTGTTTCGCTCAACAATGTGGCTAAGATTGAGAATTTAGCAGAGTATTCGTGTGTTTTCCCTCTACAGAGGCCTTTTAAAGTTTTTTCTTTATAGAAAATACATCTTTTCTGTCTTTTTTTCAAGGTTTGGAAAACCTAGTTTTCTTGAACCTCAGTCAGAACCAGCTAAGATCTTTACCTGAAGAAATATACAGGTAAATGGAGTAACTGAACCATTACAGTAAAAATATGCATTCTCTTTCTGCAGATGAGGTGTGCATCAAGGTACAGATTATGTTCATAGAAAAAGCAGGAAGTGAAATAGAGAACAAAATATCTGAATACAATGCCAAACCATTTAAAAAAAAATTCTTATTAAACATATGTTCAATGGGTCTCTGTTCCTGGTCCTCTCCAGTTTAATATTTCCATGCTCCTGGCAGGCACGGGGGTTAACTTCCACAAATATGCGGATAACATGCAATCATATCTCTCTGCCTCCACCCTCGACTCCAGGATCACTGTGGTCCTGACGGATTGTCTGTCAAACATCAAGTCCTGGATGAGAACTAACTTTCTCCAGTTCAATGTTGACAAGACGAAGGTCTTCTTGCTAGGCTCCCATCAGCCCCTCCACACCTCAGGCGTTGACAACAACAAATTACGTTTGTATAGCTCCATTCACATCAGAAGGATATCATACAAATATACAAATATAATTTATTGATGGCATCACTATTCATGGATGCACTCTCCACTCTTCATTGAGGCAAGTACGGCTTCACTAGCTCCCCATCCCTCAGAGGATTGAGTTTAAGATCCTCATATTCACTTTCAAAGCCCTCACAGTATTGCTCCCTATCTATTAGATCAACTAACAACTTACTAACCTGTCCACTCCCTCCACTTGGCTTGAAGTGTATAGCTTTGGAATCTGTTATGGGTCTAAAAATGTGTGAAGCACATGTAAAGGAATATCAATTTTCTTGTTGATAATTGTTGCAAAAATGTTAGCGCTCTGTTTAAATACATACATCATATATCAAAAATAGTGAAATCTGTTGAGATCAAATTCAACAACAACAAGATTTCATTTATTGAGCGCCTTTCACGTCAGGATGACGTCCCAAGGCGCTGGACAATTGGGTCGGGACTTGAGCAGGGAGGAAATGGTCAGGGTGAGGGGAGGGAAGGGAGGGAGCGAGGAGGGGGTAGAGAGTCGAGAGGGGAGCTGAAGGCTCGGTCAAAGAGAAAGGTCTTGAGACCGGCCTTGAAGGAGGAAAGGGAGGAGGCGGCGAAGGCACTGGGGGATGGAGTTCCAGAGCCTCGGGCCTGAGAGGCTGAAGGCCCGGCCACCGATGGTAGGGCGTTTGGGGCGGGGGATGTGGAGCAGACTGGAGCCAGAGGAACGGAGGGTACGGGCGGGTAGGTAGGTGGATAGTAGGTCGGAGAGGTAGGAGGGAGCAAGGCCATGAATGGCCTTGTAGGTGAGGATGAGGATCTTGAATTCGATCCTCTGGGGGATGGGGAGCCAGTGGAGGCGAGCGAGGGTGGGAGTGATGTGGTCCGAAGCCTGGTGCGGGACAGTACACGAGCTGCAGAGTTCTGAATGACCTGCAGCTTGTGGAGGGAGGTGCCGGGAAGGCCGGCGAGGAGAGAGTTCCCATAGTCCAGCCTTGAGGTGATAAAGGCGTGGACCAGAGTTTCAGCAGCGTGAGGGGTGAGGTAGTGCCGTAGTCTGGCGATGTTCCGGAGGTGATGGAAGGCGGTGCCAGTTGTGGCGCAGATATGAGGAAGAAAGGACAACTCAGGGTTGAACAGAACCCCGAGGTTCCTGACCGGCTTTGAGAGGTGGAGAGTGCAGCCTTGGATGCTGATGGTGTCAGCGCCTGAGGTGCGGAGGCACTGACGTGAGCCAATCAGGAGGGCCTCAGTTTTGCGCACATTGAGCTGAAGAAAGTTGTCTCTCGTCCAGGACTCGATGTCAGACAGGCAGACTGTCAGGACATCGGTGGTCGTGGAGTTGAGGGTAGAGGAGGAAAGGTAGAGTTGGGTGTCATCCACATCCGCAAAATTCATTTGTAGATCGCATTTTTACTGGCATTTAGGTTCTGAACGGATGAGGATTCTATTGTTCTGAACTAGGTAATATACTTAATAAATGTAAAAGTTATTTATTTTTCAGGTTGGCAAGGCTTGAGTATCTCAATGTGAGCAACAATGAACTGGAAAGCATTCCAGTGAAACTCTGCCTGCTGCAACAGCTCCGTGAGCTCCATTTAGCATACAATAAAATAAAATCATTTCCACCAGAGATTAAATATTTGACTAACCTAAGGAAGCTGTGTGTTCCAAGAAACCAGCTTGAGGACCTTCCAGAAGTAAGTTATTTTGATAAATCATTTTCCCCACATACAACTTAAAATAATGTACAAAGGAAGATCTGCTAGATATTTGCCATCCAAATAATACCAAGGATGAGCAAATAATTTTAGGCTGGACACAGAAGAACATGTTCACTAAAAAAGGATTGGAAGTCTCTAAGGATTTCTATTTTTTTTGATCAGCTGGGAATGCAGAAACCACACATGCCAAGGTTCCCTTTGCCTGAAATTGAGTGCTCACTCTGTTCCCAGTGGGTCACACCTGGGTTACCTAATTGTGAAATTTATGAGGCACAAATTGACAAGAGTTAAAACTTGGGGCCTCAGGGTGTGTATTGGGAGTTTAACCGCTCAACTGATTAAGTTTAACTGGGAAAAACTATACAGCTTGTTATTGCAAACTCTGTTTATCCAGCCAGGAACCCCCTCGCTGTTAGGGCTTTGGCTTGGAGGGTTAACGGGAATCGACTATTCGTCCCCTCAAGTTCTGTTGCCACGTGGTTAGAGACACTACTCCGCATGAACAGCGCTATATAAATGCAAATTGTTGTTGATGAGCCAGGCTGCCATCAGACTACCTTGGAGAGCAGCGGGCGTGCCTAGCTCTTTGAATCAGGAGTGCAACCTGCTGCTGGGAGTTTAGCCCTGGCTGCAATTGGTAAAGAAAACTTTTGCATAGATAGTTTAAATTTGTTGTGAGAGAGTTAGAACTATATTATTATAATTACTTTTGACATCAGTGTTACTGTGATGTGATGTTGAAAGATTTGTGGTGATATGGACAATGAATTTAAACAATAATATTCCTACATATGATAGTCATTTCACCCACAAAATACAGTCAAATCCCTTTTCAGTGTATTCTGTAAAGCGCTTTGAGATGTCTCAATGACATGATAAGGCACTCTATCTAAACAACAATTATTATTAAGTCTTTCAAATTGTGAGGATAAGTCAAAGTGCTTCACATTTACTGTAAAGTGTAGTAATTGTATTTTTGTTGGCAAACACGGCAGCCAGTTAGAGCACAGTAATGTCCCACAAACAGCCATGACGTGAATAAATTTTAAAAAATGAAATGTCCTTGAAAGTAGGTACTCTAAAAGTGCGCAGCGTATGTAACACCTTGCACTGCGTCTCTACCTTACAGTACCTGGCCAGGGCGAGGGCTAACCTCCTTTTCCTGCAGGAATGCATGATAATGGACTCCAGCAGCTACAGGGCTTGGGCTAAGTGGTGGACGCCCTAAGGACCCTCAGTGTGGTCCGGGGGAAATGACCGCCACAGCTCTGGGGTGGCTGTGCTGCTGCAGGGGGAATTGTCACCCTTACTGAGCGCAGAGAAGTGGTGGTTGGGAGACTCCCAGTAATAGACAAAATGTACAGAGATGCTCCTCTTAGATTGATCAATGTTTACCCCCCACAACAGGTTATAATAATAATACTCCTTGCATTTGATGTAGCGCTTTTCACGTCTTCTCGTCGTCTCAAAGCGCTTCACAGAATACACTGTAAAGTGAATTGCCTGTATATTTGTGGGCGAAATGCGGCAGCCAATTGCGCACAACAGTGTCCCACAAACAGTCGTGGATTGAAATGACCAATTTATTATTTTTTTGAGGGATTATTATCAGGTGTGTGGAGTAAGAAAACTTGCCTAAGGTTTCATCCTGCCGGGAATCGAACCCAGGTCTCTCGCTTGCAAAGTGAGTGCTCTAACCACTGAGCTACAGGACTCCAGGTTAGAGTACCAGGTCCTTTTGCAGTTGCTCCCACCACTGTTGGTCACGTCCAGGCTGGTCATCCTAGGAGGGGATTTCAACTGCATCCTAGAAGCAAACGGACAATCCACCAAGTCCAACGGGGAGCTACGTCCAAGCCCCTCTGGAATGTGGAGAAGGGTGCCAAGCTGAGCGATATCTTTAGAACCACGGCAAACGGGACTCGGGTACAATACACTTACTCCAACCCAAACGGGTCGATCCACTTGAGAATAAATTTCCTCTTTTCGAAAGACCTCTTGGTTAGGGACAAAGATATCCAGCCTGTGTTCTTCTCTGACCACCGCCTGCTGTTAGCTGACCTGCACATGCAGGAAGGCCGCAGGATGGGCAAGGGAAAGTGGAAATTGAACATAAAGCTGCTGGCCGCAGAGAATGTAGAGGAGTTGCGGAAAGAGTATCAAGGATGGAAATCCTTGAGGGATTTCTGCGACTCCTACGCAGAACGGTGGGACATGGTAAGGTCCATGTGAAGCAATTCTTCATCAGCAAGGGTGTGAGGGTAGCCAAGACCAGAAAGAAGGTCATCTCCCGGCTACAGACCAAAATGCAGAACCTCCTGCGACAACAGGCTGAGGAACTGATGTCAGAAAGGAACTCAAGGAAGTGAAGAATCAGCAAACTACGCACTTTGATGCCGAGGCCTCCAGGATTATCTTCCGATCCAGGGGCGCATGATAGAACAGGGCAAGACATGCTCATGTTTTTTCTTTCAGAAAGCAAACAGAGCCAGCTCTGTTATTGCTGGGCTGAGGGATAAAATGGGTTTGGTGCACGTGAATAAGGCCGGTATGCTGAGGATCGCTAGATTCTTTTATGCTGATCTGTACTGAGAGAACCCACAGAGAGCACAGACTCCCGTAATTTCCTGTCTGCCCTTACCGAGGTGCTGGATGAGGAAAGCCGGGAGCCTCTCTCACTAGACGAACTGACCAGGGCCATCAAAGCCCTCCAGACCGGTAAGATCCCCGGAGGCGTTAGCCTCCCGGTGAAGCTCTACTCGGTTCCATGGGACATGATGGGCCCGGACCTGCTGAAGGCCTACAACAACATGCTGCTAGCAGGGACCATGGCAGAGTCTACGAGGAAAGGCAGTCTCCCTGCCTTACAATCAAAAGGAGCAGAAGGAGGAGATAAAGAATTGCTGACCAATCTTGCTCCTGAATGTGGACAGTAAGATCCTTGCAAAGGTGATCTCTGAGAGGATAAAGATTGTCCTCGGGTGAGTAATACACCCAGACCAGACCTGTACGGTTCAGGGCTGAAGGATCTCGGAAAGCCTTGCTCTGCTCAGGATACCATCGCCTACATGCCGGACAGGGGGGTGAAGGCCTGCCTGATCAGTCTTGATCAGGAGAAAGCCTTTGACAGGGTATCTCACAGCTACATAGATGAGGTACTCTCCAAAATGGGTTTTGGGGAGGGAATACACAAGTGGATCCGACTGCTCTACACAGACATCTGTAGCGCAGTCACAGTCAACGGGTACGAGACTGAGCTGATTCCCATCAGGTTGGGAGTAAGGCAGGGCTGTCCTCTATCCCCCACTCTGTTTGTCTGCATAGGCCATCAGGAGGGACAAGAGCATCAGAGGTGTCACAATCCTGGGCAGCCACTGCACACAAGCCAAGGCCTCCCTGTATATGGACGATGTCACCGTCTTTTGCACAACCAAAAATCGGTCTCGAGCTGCTAGGCATCTGTGATCAGTTTAACAAGCCTCGGGAGCCAAGGTCATCGCCAGACAAGCGAGGCGATGTATTTTGGAGACTGGAAAGAACGCAGTCTCATACCTTTTGTGGTGAAGCCAGACTACATCGAGGTCCTCGGCATTTAGTTCAGAGCTGCCGGGGCGTGCCACAAACACTGTGAGGAGTGTCTAGGCCGTAGTGAGGAAGAAACTGGTGATGTGGCACCAGCGCTCACTGTCCATCACTGGAAAAATCTGGTGATAACGTGTGAGGCCCTCTTGGTGTTACTGTACGTGGCCCAGGGCTGGTGTTTGACCAGGAACAACACCACTGCAGTCACCAGAGGTCTTCCAACTGATCTGGGTTCCAAGATGGATTGTGTCCGCAGAGACACGATGCACAAAACCCCGGAAAAGGGGGGAAAAGGAGTCCCTAAGTAGCCCTGAACCTCATGGCCACCTTTGTGTGGCTACCTGAGGCTGTGCCTGGAGCCCCGCTACTTGGGCAACAAATGCCGCTACGTGCTGTGCTTCTATCTGAATCCGGTGCTAAGAAGGGTGGGTCTGGCAGAACCACCTCGAAACATTCCACACAGTTGGCCGGATGCCAAACCACCTATCCTATGTTGAGAAATTCCTGAAGATCACCATCCCAGACCCCCGTGCAATAGCCAAGTGGCCCACATGACAGGTAATCAAAACAGTTCGAAAGGGGGAGAGTGCAGACCCGATTGGGAGGTACCCTAAGGGGACAGCCAGCTACGTCTGGCAAAATGCCTTGTTACCGTCCCTGATCAGCAAGCATCAGGACATGGCCTGGGTGGCGACAAAAGGGGTCCACCGCCTCAGGGCCTTCATGCACGATCAGGGTCTGGGCCAGTCAGCACTGCCCTTGGCCTGGCTGCAGAGGCTAGGAGACCAGGGACCACTTCTTCCTGGAGTGTTGTTTCGCAAAGGCGGTTTGGATATAGATGGAATGGATTCTCTCGCGGTTCGTCCACTCCAACACAACCCGCTCGGGGCGCACCCACTGGGTAGCCCATGAGCGCACCCAAAACTGACTGAAGTAAGGGTACGGAAGGATGCTCAAGATATAACCAAAGACTGTCCCAAAAATGTATGTATTGTAAACATGTGCGTGGTACGGTGCACATCAGGGCACCTTCCGAAAGCGGCAAGCGCGCCTTATCAGGGTGGATGCAGGCGCGCACATGGATGTGGTGTACACGGGCGATTCTCGACTGTGTTAAAGGGAGCGTTCCAAAAAATGTGTGCATGACCTGTGTGCGGAGAAAGAATGTACCGTAAACAACGAAATGTGTTTTGTAATGGGAGAAAAGGAAAAAAATTGTAACAAAATATTGTTGTATTTTGTTTTGGATTACCTTTGTACTAAATATTATATTTGTAAATTTATTTGGGGACCAGGACACCAGGGGAAACTCCATCCTCTTTCACATAGATTTTAACATCCACCTAAACAGGCAGATGGAAATTTTGTTTAAACAGCACCTCTTGTATTGGAGTGTCAGCCTAGACAATGCGAGTTCAAATTCCCGATGGACTTCTACCCACAGCCTTCCGAACCAGGCTGAAATGCAAGTTAACACTTCAGTGTTGTAGTAAATTCAAGACATGCAGAATTTACAGTTCATTTGAACAATGAACAAAGCTAAATTTGACTGTAAAAAAGATTCTTATTCTATTCAATAAAAACAATTTCAGTAAACTGCAGCGAAAAGAGATTAATAATACAGCATATGACAAATAGGCTATGAGAGCTTCAATTTTAGTGATAACAACATAAAAATAACTTGCATTCATATTGCATGTAGAATAATGTCTCATAGCACCTTACAAGGGTGAGGTGGCAACACATTAAAAAAAACTTTATTTTTAAACAAAAAAATAGAAAAAAGTACAACTGCTTCAACAAGCTTTTGTAATTTTGATCTTGAATTGTGATGCATATTGTGTTAGTTTTGGTATTGAATGGCTGCACCATTGTTCAGTTAAATAGCTTGCCTCCCAAAAGGTTTGATGCATGTTGCTGTTAATTAAAGATTCTTTTATGTGCCATGTTTACAAATCACGAGTTTTGCGCATTCCAAATGCCGAAAATTTGATGGGTTAAACAGGAAACAAACAGATGCACATTTCCCCCTTTGTAGAGCAATTTGGCAGCTTTTGCCACTCCAAGCAAGGTATAATTTTAACTGCACTAGATTGTGGCCAAGCCACTAGACGCAACGGCAGAATGTTGGTTTCAAGAGAGGGCAGCAACTAATCTTGCCTGAGGCTTAGCTCTAATTGTGGTTACTGTGCTTAGTTAGCGAGTCAATATGCTCTGCATTTCAGTGACAACGTGTACAACTATGAAATGTATTGATATAGTCCAAGCTCTGCCTTCATTATGCAGGGTTAATATTATGGTTCCATATGCATGAAGAGTGGAGCCACTGACAGCCATGCAGCTGGAAGTTTAAATATAGTTTAAATATAGCAGTTTAAATGATTTAAATATAGTTTAAATATAGCAGTTCTTTTCTAGCCTAGAGAGCATGGTCAATGTAACAAAACTATCAGTAGATAGTTTAGTGAGATTTACACCCAATGGGTGCGGTATATTTTCCTGTTCCAATGCTGTTTTCTTTGTTTGTGGAGTCCTGTAGCTCAGTGGTTAGAGCACTTGCCTTGCAAGCGAGAGACCTGGGTTCGATTCCCAGCAGGGCAAAACGTTGGGCAAGTCTCCTTACTCCACTCGCCTCTGTTTACTTAGCAGTAAGTAGGAACCCAGTTGTAAGTTTATTGGTGGATCACTTATCCGTGGGTAATAATTCCTATAAAGAAAAGTTGCTCGATCCGCGACGGTTTGTGGGACACTGCTGTGCGCAATTGGCTGCTGTGTTTCGCCCACAAAATATACAGTCAATTAACTTTACAATATATTTTGTGAAGCACTTTGAGACAACTTTGAAAATGTGATAAGGCACTATGTCAAATGCAAAGATTATTATAGCGAAGGTGATGGCTTTTAATGAAAATAATCAAAATAAATCTTACCATTTTTCTGTTTTGTCAGAAACTTTGCTTTTTAAGGAAACTGAAATTGCTTGATGTGGCTGGAAATCATTTGCACATTTTCCCATCAAGGGTAAGTGCATTGCTTTGAATGTACAATTTGAGTATACATTGCAATTAAAATAGAATAATTGATTAAATTATTCATTGGTCTCTGTGATACGTAATACGTTTCCTCCTCCAATGTTCTCCCAATGTCTAATAAATGAATGAGTGTGAGTCACTTCCTGGTACTCCCTCCCTTTATCCCTCTGCTCAGCCCCTCACTGACTTTAAATCCTGCCTAAAAAAATCTACCTCTTTGACCCAACCTATTGTCATGTATCCTATTCAAATACCCCCTTCCCTCCAATCTTTCTTGGCATCTAAGTACATCTTTGTGAAGTGCTCTGCAATGTCATCCTCCATAAAGGACACAATATAAATGCAAGTTTTTTTGGTTAGGGTGACCATACAGTCCTTCCCTATCCCCTTTGGCTTCCATACCCAGCTTGGATGCCAGGTCAGTGACGTTATTACTTTGAGACATCCTCCCGACATGAAAGATGCTATGTAAATTGTATTGTTGTAGTAATTTGCTCAAATGGCCGTTTATCGTGTGAAGGACTAGATGGGGAATAAATTGTCTGATGGTGTTGGTCATCCAAATTGGTAGAATTTTCTCCAATGCACCACATTATATTTTTTAACGATTATATGCACAATGTATAGGACAAAGCCACTACCACTCACATACTGACATTAACCTTTTGTGTTTTTAAATGTAAAGTTGATGGATCTTCCACTGGCAGAACTCTACTTTGAACAGAATCCATTGCTGACAAAACATTTTGTTGTAACTGTACAACAGGAAGAAGTTTTAAGGCTTAAGGTAACATTAGATTACTCTAGATAATTCTACAAAGCAGCATTCACAGCACGGAAGTGGAGTCCCTTTTTTGTTGATCAAGTTAAAACTATATTGTAAGACTCTTCCCTCACCTCCAGAGAGAAATGCTCTAACCTGTCCAATTATTTTGATAGCTGTATCCACTCACCCAGCGTACCATGTTAGTATATGCACACTGCACTTTATTGTTATGATATCATTCCTGTAGTATGGTGTCCAGAACTACAGAATGTGATCTGACCAACGTTTTATATCAATTTAACATTACATCCCTATTTTTATAACTATTCCTTTAGATATAAAGTATTTTTGTAACTCTATTCCTTTGCATTCCTTGCTTTGTCCACCTGTGCTGCTATTTTTTGTGTTGTGAATCTGAATCCTTAGATCCCTACACCTCGTAGGTTCTTATCATCTAGGACAGTGGTGGCCATCAGGAAGCCTGCATAGTTTTATTTTTTATTATTCTTGCTTATCTCTCTTATTTGTCTGCATATTTCTTCTGTTTCTTTTCCACTCTTGGGTGGTCTGTAGTACACACTTAATACAATGATTGTTTCTTTATTAGATTTTATCTCTATCCAAATGGATTCTGACTTTACCCCTTCCTTATTTATATCCCTTTTTTCCAATGTATTATAATAATCCTTGCATTTTTATATAGTGCCTTATCAAGTCTTCAAGACATCTCAAAGCGCTTCACATAATATACTGTAAAGTGAATTGACTGTTATGATGTCTCTTATCAACACAGGTTTTAAACACATTTGCTTAGAATATGGGTTGATATTTTATTTTACAAAAGAACTGCTTGTAAGCAAAATAGAAGTGCACGGTATTAAAGGGACAGTGGCAGCATGGATACAGAACTGGCTGGAAGACGGAAAGCAGAGAGTGGTGGTGAAAGGTTGTTTTTCTGACTGGAGGGAAGTGTGCAGTGGTGTCCCTCAGGAGTCACTATTGGGACCACTGCTCTTTTTGATCTATGTAAGTGACCTGGACTTGGGTATAGGGAGTACAATTTCCAAGTTTGCAGATGATACTAAGCTAAGAAAAGTAGTAAACGTGAAGAGGATAGTATCAGACTGCAAGGGGACATAGACAGACTGGTAAAATGGGCAGAAACGTGGCAGATGAAGTTTAATGCGGAGAAATGCAAAGTAATGCTTTGTGGGAGGACGATTGAGGAGAGGCAATATAAGCTGATGACAGAATCTTAAAGGGGGTGAAGGAACAGAGAGACCTGAGGGCTCATATAAATAAATATTTGAAGGTGGCAGGACAGGTAGATAAAGCTATTAAAAAAGCATACAGGATACTTGGCTTTATAAATAGGGGCATAGAATACAAAAGTCAGGAAGTTATGATGAACCTTTATAAAACACTGGTTAGACATCAGTTAGAATACTGTGTTCAGTTCTGGGCACCACATTTTAGGAAGGATGTCAAGGCATTGGAGAGGGTGCAAAGGAGATTTACCAGGATGGTACCAGGAATGAGGGAAAACAACAACAACAACAAGATTCCATTTATAAAGCGCCTTTCACGTCAGGAGGACGTCCCAAGGCGCTGCACAGTTGGGTCATGACCCGAGCAGGGGGGAAATGGTCAGGGTGAGGGGAGGGAAGGGAGGGAGCGAGGAGGGGGGAAATGGTCAGGGTGAGGGGAGGGAAGGGAGGGAGCGAGGAGGGGGAAGAGAGTCGAGAGGGGAGCTGAAGGCTCGGTCAAAGAGAAAGGTTTTGAGACCGGCCTTGAAGGAGGAAAGGGAGGAAGCGGCGAAGGCACTGGGGGATGGAGTTCCAGAGCCTCGGGGCTGAGAGGCTGAAGGCCCGACCACCGATGGTAGGGCGGTTGGGGCGGGGGACGTGGAGCAGACCGGAGCCAGAGGAACGGAGGGTACGGGCAGGTAGGTAGGGGGATAGTAGGTTGGAGAGGTAGGAGGGAGCAAGGCCGTGAATGGCCTTGTAGGTGAGGATGAGGATCTTGAAATCAATCCTCTGGGGGATGGGGAGCCAGTGGAGGCGAGCGAGGGTGGGAGTGATGTGGTCCCGAAGCCTGGTGCGGGACAGTACACGAGCTGCAGAGTTCTGAATGACCTGCAGCTTGTGGAGGGAGGTGGCGGGAAGGCCGGCGAGGAGAGAGTTCCCATAGTCCAGCCTTGAGGTGACAAAGGCGTGAACCAGGGTTTCAGCAGCGTGAGGGGTGAGGTAGTGCCGTAGTCTGGCGATGTTCCGGAGGTGATGGAAGGCGGTGCCAGTTGTGGTGCGGATGTGAGGGAGAAAGGACAGCTCAGGGTCGAACAAAACGCCGAGGTTCCTGACTGGCTTTGAGAGGTGGAGAGTGCAGCCTTGGATGCTGATGGTGTCAGCGCCTGAGGTGCGGAGGCGCTGACGTGAGCCAATCAGGAGGGCCTCGGTTTTTCGCACGTTGAGCTGAAGAAAGTTGTCTCTCGTCCAGGACTCGATGTCGGACAGGCAGGCTGTCAGGACATCGGTGGTCGTGGAGTTGAGAGTAGAGGAGGAAAGGTAGAGTTGGGTGTCATCCGCATACATGTGGAAGTTAACTCCATGTCTGCGGATGATGTCACCAAGGGGGAGCATATAGAGGGTGAAGAGGAGGGGACCGAGGACAGAGCCCTGAGGGACACCACATGAGACAGTACGGGGGGTGGAGGAGAAGCCATTCGTCGAGACAAAGTGAAGACGGTGAGAAAGGTACGACCTAAACCATTCAAGGACAGTGCCTTGAAGGTTGAGGTGGGAGGACAAGCGGTGGAGTAGGATAGCGTGGTCGACCGTATCGAATGCTGCCGATAGGTCGAGGAGGACGAGGAGACAGAGGGAGCCCTGGTCACAGATGGTCAGGATATCATTGGTGACCTTGACCAGGGCAGTTTCTGTGCTATGGGCAGCACGGAAACCTGACTGAAGGGGTTCGAAAAGAGAATGGGTGGAAAGGAAAGAGCGCAGTTGGGAGGCGACAACTCTTTCCAAGACCTTGGAGAGAAAGGGGAGGTTGGAGATGGGCCGGTAGCTTGATAGCTGCGACGCATCAAGGGAGGGTTTTTTCAGGGTGGGCGTGATGATGGCAGTTTTTAATGGAATGGGGACAGAGCCAGAGGAGAGGGACAGGTTGATGATGTCAGTGATATGTGGGGCAAGAAAGTGGAGCTGGGAGATAAGGAGTGGGGATGGGGTCAAGGGAGCAGGTGGTTGGTTTTAGGGATAGGATGAGTTTAGTGACAGAGGGTGGGGAAACGGGTACGAAGGTGTGTAGGGGAGGATGGGTAGGAGTCGGAGTGTGGGAGGGAGGGGGTGGGGGGTTGGTGGAAGTTGGAGGGGAAGTGACCGCGGAGCGGATTCCCTTGATCTTGGATTCAAGGAAATCCAGCATCTCCTCGCAGTGAAGGTTGGAGGAGATGACCTGCGCGGGGTGGCGGGGGGGACGGAGGAGTCGGGTTGTGGTGGAAAACAGTAGCCTGGGGTTGTTCTTCGCCTCCAGGATTATCCTGGAGTAGAAGGACGACTTGGCCGAGGCTAGAGTGGAGCGGTAAATTTTGAGGAGGTCCAGCCAGATTTGTCGGTGGACCGTTAGGCCAGATTTGACACAGGTGCGTTCAGCAGCCCGCACCTGGCTTTTCAGTGAGCGGAGGTGGGTGGTGTACCAGGGGGAGGAGCGGGAGTAGGAGACAGTGCGGGAAGTGATGGGGGCAAGAGTATCGAGTGTGGAGGAGAGGGTATTGTGGAGGAGGGAGAGAGGAGAAGAGGGGTCGGTGAGGGTTGAAGGCCAGAGGGAGAGGAGTTCAGAGGACTCCAAGGCATCGGTTAGGGATTGTGGGGGTAACTTCTTCCAAGGGCGGTAGAAGATGGTGGTGGGTCTGGTGGAGGTGGGGAGGGGGGTGGAGGTGGTGAAGGAGATGAAGTAGTGGTCAGAGATGGCCTTGTCGGTAATAGTGACATCCGAGACACTGAGGCCCCGGGTGATCACCAAATCGAGTGGGTGGCCGTGACTGTGAGTGGGGGAGTTTATGTGTAAGGAGAGGTTGAGTGAGGAGAGCAGGGAAGAGAAGTCTGTGGAGATGGAGCAGGAGGGGGTGAAGTGTAGGTTAAAGTCGCCCAGGATGATGAGGCGATCAGAGCAGAGGCAAAGAGATGTGAGGAGTGTTGAAATGTCAGAGATGAAGGTGGGAGAGGTTTTAGGGGGCCGGTAGAGGAGGAGGATTTTAAGGGAGAGGAATGAGGGGTGGGAGAGGGTGAGGTGCTCAAAGGAGGGGAAAGAGCCAGTGGAGTAGGGGATAGGGCAAGTGGTGTCCTTGAGATAAGGGCAACACCACCGCCACGGCGGTTGGGGCGGGGGATGTGGTGGGAGGTGTAGCCGGGTGGTGTGGCCTCCGTGAGGGGGAAGGTGTCGCCTGGGGTGAGCCAGGTTTCTGTTAAGGCCATGATATCAACGTTCTCATCAAGGATGAGATCGTTGATGACCAGGGCCTTGTTGCAGAGGGAGCGGACATTTTGCAGTCCGATGTGGAGGGAGCGGTTGACAGAAGGGTGTGTGGGAGGGGAGGGGGGTCCAGGTTGTGAGGCAGGGGTGGGGGGGATAGGGATGGGGATAAGGGAGGAGAGGTTGACTCCCCGGGTCTGTGTCCGGGGTGGGTGGCGAGTGTGGTGGGGAATGGGGCAGTCGGTGTGGCTGCTGCTGGACAGCCAACGCCGAGTGCCGCGGTGAGCCCGGCGGAGGATTCCCAGGCTGGAGCAGAGGGAGGTTGTGGGAGGGTCAAGTGGGGATAGAAGACGAGAGGGACGGAGAGAGGAGGAGAGAGCGGGAGAGATGCAGAGAGGGGAGGGTTTGGGGGGAGAGAGGAGGGGGGCAGGAGGGAGGGGGTGAGGGCGCTCGGGTCAAAGCGGCAGCCATAGTGCGCACGCGGGGACCGGGAGCGAGCGGTCAGGTGGATGGCATTATCCCGTAGATTGGGGCAGCCAACCCAACAGGACCATAGTGGGTTCTGATGTGAGCCCTGGGGGGGGGGTGGCGCAGAGATTTTTTTTTCAGTTATCAGGAGAGGCTAGAGAAGCGAGGATTATTCTCCTTGGAGCAGAGAAGGTTAAGAGGAGACTTAATAGAAATTTTCAAAATTATGATGGGATTCGATAGGGTGAACAAGGGGAAACTATTTCCACTGGCTGGTGCGTCGGTAACCCGAGGGCATCGATTTAAAACAGTTGTTAAAAGAAACAGAGGGGAGGTGAGGAGAAAATATTTTCACACAGTGAATTGTTCGAATCTGGAATACATTACCTGAAAGTGTGGGTGGTGGAAGCCGATTCAATAACAACTTTTAAGAGAGAAGTAGATAATTATTCTGGGAGTCCAAGTTTGCAGGGCTATGGGGAGAGACCGGGGGAATAGGATTGATTTAGAAACTCTTTTCAAAGAGCAAGCACAGACATGATGGGCCGAATGACCTCCTTCTGTGCTGTATAATTCTATGATTCTAACTCTCCTAAAAAGTCAATTTAATTTTTTTTCGAATCACTTTTAGATCAAACCAGGAAGTGATATTATCAAATTAACTGGTGAAGCAGACTGTAGACTGAGAGAGGGAGGCAGAGACCTAAAGAGGAAATCAAACAGATAGAGAGGAAGAAAGGTGGAAAGAGTTGAACAGTGAGAGATTGAGAGAGAGGAAAGGAACCAGAAAGAAATACACACAGGACGGAGAGAGGGTTAGTGGGACAGAGGGAGGGAGAGTGTTTCCTTCCCTCCCTCTCACTGTCTCCTTCCCTCTTTCTGTTTCATTTCCTCTCCCTGTGTCTTCCCCCTTATCTTTTTCTGACTCCCTCTCTTACTCTGTCTCCCTACCCACATCTCTCTCTCTCTTTCTCTGTTAGAGGAGGGTATTTCTCCCAATTTGCTGGCCAATAGTCCCCTGGATAAAAAAAAATAGTCATTCACTTCATTGCTATTTTTGGGACATTACTTTGTCTAGACATACTTTACAGGAAACGTTGTGAAGTGCTTTGAGATATATTGATGTGATAACAAATGGGCCGTCTTTCAGCCATTCTACTCCCACCCTGTGGAACCCCATCCTCGGTTTCCCCTAGCTCACTCACTCCCTCCATTCTTTTAAGACACATCTCAAAACATACCGAATCAACCGCAGTTTGGTCATCTTTCCCCTCTGCACCTCACTTGGTTCCCACCCCCGGCTAGGATGCTCATCCAGCACCATGAAGCATTACTCCTAATGTGAAAGGCTCTATATAAATGTAAATTGTACTGTATTACATTCCTAGTACAATACTAGTGCACTTATGGAGGAATCATTCAGATTCTTGATATTGTTTTTTGTTCTTTGTCCACATCTCACAGTAAGTTATTACAAATAATGCTGATTAATTTTCTGTAAATATGTCATCCTTATTCTTACAGAGTGCTTTGTATTTATTATTGCACTAACTGTGATTATACATAGAGTCCACACTGGAGTCTGTACTTTAATGGAGGTGCATACGGGTTAATGCAAGCTGTGTTCAGTCACCATTTGACATTGTTTTCCTCCAAATGCTGATGCAGTCCAGATGCTGGACAACATATAATTGTGACCATGTTTACAGGCTTCAGTACTCATTTATAACAGCTGGAGAGTCTCTGGAAAATTTCCTTTGCAGCTGCAGTGCCCATTGGAGTAGCCACGTTATAAATAAATGACCACAAAGGGCAAGGCATATATATATAAACAAATAATCTTTGGAAAACTAAAACCATTAAGTATAAGAATAGGCAGAAAGGGAATGAATACTGTAAATCAGGGAAAATCATGTCAATTTAATGTGATCCTTTTTTTATATTCAAACTTAGTACAAAATTAAATTAACCGCAAATTGACTTTGTAACTTCTTGTTAGATTAGATCTAAAAGCACTTTTGCATAAATTGGTTTTCTGTGAAATATTTGGTAACATTAAGAGTGTGAATGTTTATCTGTGTAATTTTCTCAATTTGCAGTATTCAACTAAACCTCAAAATAGTAAATATTTAAACTATCCAGAAAAATATAAACCAAGCTTTGGCATTGCTGTGGTAAGTTAGATGTTGCGTTGCAAGGTAGTAATACCTCAAAAGGCATAATAACTTTGTAAAGCATGAGAGAAAGCTGAAGTAATTTTGCAACATTTTCGCAGCCAGACATATCTATGTCCTTGAAACATTTTCCTACTTTTATTCTAAAACATAAAGGTGCTCACTGACTTTATTTGTGAGGCAATCACAAATGCAATGAAATGTACATATCACAACTACGTATTCAAGTAAACGTCATTTATATATCTTTATATATCAGATGTTATACACATACATATACTGTATATATGTAGCCTGATACATACAACTTACGAATAGAATGACAATCAAATACCAGATGTTCTTCAGTCCCATTTCATGTTGTTCACAGTTTTCATTTGTGAACTACACAGGAGTATATGCTGATACACTAATCAATCATGGAGGGCTTCACATTAGAGTATAATCCTATCATCACCCAACATCCATACACATACACTTTCCAGCGGGTGATCACTGCAAAACTATCAGAAGCAGGAACTCTAGCTTGACTTTTCTCCTCCCCAGGGACGTTAGGACCGATTAAATTATTCCAACTTTTGTCTCTGCTGAAATCATGTAAATCATTATAGTCTGGGAATGAAACCTAGAGCTTTAAACTTTATATTTGTACTGTATTCTTGATATGCTTGTCTAGTCATTGTGACTTACTGTATTCCACGTACACAGAGGATGCTTAATGGAATCTAAGTAGATGGCATCTATCTTATTGTCCTCCTGTGACTTTTCCAGGATTTATCTTAGTCCTGTGGGTTAAGGAGAACACTTTATATGTGCCCTGTGGTTTCCAATTTGGAAACGTCCATTACATTTTGAACATGGATGTTATAGGTTGTTAGGAACAGCTCACAGCATTGGAACAAAGTTTTTGAAACAAAAATACAGGAGTGTCAAATAAGTACAATTCTGTCCCAAAATACAGAAAAAAATATTTCTCACTTTGGTTGAAATGTCTTAGAATATTGAACAAGTTGCTGACCAAAAATGTTGTACACAAAATCCTCTACAAGAGTTCCTCAGTGAGAAAAACATAAATAACCTAATGGAAATGGAATTATTGTTTTGAAAAAAAAGCTTTTTTTCCCCGTTTAGCCCTTGAATGATTCCCCTGTGACTGTGGGGAAGTGCCTGATATTGGTTTGGAACCTGGCACTGCCCTATAACAGCACAGCCAATACTGTGTGGGGAAATTGTGGAAAGAATCCTTATGGGAACACCAATGCACTGTACCACCCTGTATGTTTTCCAAGGGGAATATGCTGAAAATTGACCCTGTGTTTTCAGTGAATTTTAAAATAAGTACAAACAGATGCTGACAAATGCTGTTCCATTCTCATAACTTCTAAGTAAGCTATCTGAATATCCTGATGCTTATTTGTAAAAGTATTAACATACAAAAAAAAATAGAAATATATCTGGAACTGAGTTGGTTATAAATCCAGATACTTGGAAATTACAAGGCTTTGCATCAAAATCCCACTGTTTGTGAGCAATTGTTTAGTTTGTGCTAACCATGTTGTAAAATAGTCTGGCTAAGTTATACCATATGTGTGGTCTGGGAACTGTGGACATGTTTTTTTCCAATCTACATAATTATGACAGAACAGAATATAAGTCTGTCTAAAATGTGATATTCAACAGTAATGGAAATCAAAGATGTCATGGCCATCAGTGAAATCTTTTAATTATCTCCACTAACCAAGTTGGCTAACCATTCAGTCTCTTGTGGAAACGCTCATTGCTCACCACTTGTCATAGAATCATGTCTCTATAACAGTAAGAATGTACTAAATTACCTGGTCTTTGGAGAACTGAAATGTTTATTTAATAGTCTATAGTCATTGAAATTCTTTTTAACAACTTTTGCATATTTTCATTTGATTTGACTTTCCTGCAGGATAGAAAATGTGTAGTTAATCCAAATAACAATTTGTAGTTAATGGAAAAATAATTGCATACAAAATACAGTCACTAGTATGTACATTAAAAATCCTGTCAAGTCCTGTGAGACATCTTCCCGATCTTAAAAGCACTATATTAAATGCAAGGATTATTATTAATTCTTGTTCGATCTTTTTGCTTTAAGAGTTCATCTTCTTAATTCAGCTGAAAGGTTAAATCAAGGTCCAATCTGCATGTTCAGGTGGATGTTACAGATCCTATGGAACTATTTGAAAAGGGAAGGGAGTTTCTCCCAGTATCCTAGCTAATATCCTGGAGGAAGGAAGTCTGACCAGGACCGCCTTCCTCCACCTCCGCCACGTTGCCCGCCTCCGACCATACCTTACCCAAATGCAGCTGAAACCCTCGTGCATGTGTTTGTCACCACCCGGCTGGATTAACAAACACACTCCTCGCTTGCCTCCCCATCTCCATTATTCAAAAAATCCAGCTCATTCAGAACTCTGCCACCTGAATACTGACCTGGAGCAAACTCCGTACCGCCATCTCACCAATTCTGGCCGGGCTCCACTGGCTCCCCATCATCGAATGGATCAACTTCAAGATCCTCACACTCATGTTCAAATCCCTTCACTCTCTGGCACCTCCCTACCTCTGTGAGCTTCTCACTCCCTAAGTCACTATCCGGCACCTCTGCTTATGGTCACCACCCCCCTCCCACCCCCCGACTTGGAGTCAATTTTAAGCGCTTCGAGTGCTGCCCTGCGTGGAGAGCACTATATAGGTACAAGTTGTTGTTGTGATAATCTCCCAGAGTTCTCTTATCTCCAAGACAGAAGGGTGTGGGTTCAAGCCCTACCTACATCAGGTCTTTGAACGTTGTCCAGGCAGATGCTGCAATGCAGTGTCAGGAGATCGCTGAATTGTCAAAGGCGTCTTCCCTTTGTTGAGACATTTAAGCCATGGTTCTGACTGCCTGTTTGATTCTCCTGGTGTCCTGGCCAACAATATCCCAGACACAGCAATGTCCCAAAAGCAGCCATGAAATTAATTGATAATTCATTTCATGGCTGTTTTGGGGACCTTACTTCGTACAAATTAGCTGCCATGTTTTCCAATAAAATGCGCAGTCTATAATAAATCTTGTGAAGCCCTTTGTCTTCCCAATGTGAAAGGCACAATGTTAAATACAAGGATTATCTGAATTTATCATGACAGTTTTCCTAAAAGTATAATTTCTCTATAATATGCAGGAAATTGCAGCAAGATATATTATGAAGGAATTGAGGGACACATCATCCTACACATATGCAGCTATTAAGTACTATCCAGCAATCAGAAAAATGTTGGATGATTCAAACACATGTGCTATATGTGGTGAAAGCCTACTGAACACTTGGCTTGAATGTGTGGATTTCGTCAAAGTTAAAAGGGTTTGTTTTATTGATTAAGTGCACATAGAAATAGGCAGTAGATAGATATTTGGATGAAATAATTATATTTCTATTTTGAACAGGGCACTGCAGTAAGGCAGGGATATTAATTAGAGGAAATTAGCTGCAGAATGCTCACATGTTCTAATTTGTATTACTGACATTGAATCTCTTCCAATTGAATCTCCCCATAATGGGACTTCCTCAAAGCAATAATTAATTCTGATTTTGTTTTGTCAGTTGGGCATCTGACTCACCTGAAAAATTACCACCACAATTAAGAGTATGCAGACTAGACTGAGAGTGCCACTCTCAGTGAAATGAAACGGTCTCTCCCTGGAGAGAATGACCTGCTCACCTAATCCTTGATGATGCCATTGGGCAGATAATCACTGAAAAAGATCATTGTAGTTTATTTGGCCAGTATCAAAATTCAAAGGAAACTTCTATTCTCCTATTCGTCCTTCAATTACTTTGTTCACTAAAAATATTTAACCCATCCTGTCTTGAATTTGCTGACCCATCCACTACCATGATTCTCTTAGATGTATTCACGACGCTGTAGTAAAGGCAGTCAAGGTTGAATCAGGCTTCTAATGGGACATCTAGAAATCAACACTTGGGATTAGCCTTGATGACCATTACATCAGAATAGTCACTGGTGGCTGGAATGTATTTGTGTGAAACAGATACAACGGTGGGCAATATTGAAGTGAATGAGTTGCCTATTATGATCATGTGTTTCAATTTTAATTTAATAATATGGGTACAAAAATTACAAATATTTTCTGAACATTTATATTCATAATGTGTCTTTATCTTACTTGCTGAGTTGCAGCTACCAAACCACTGTGGGTCAACTGTGAAATGCAACTGCCTTCATGGAATCATAAAATTATACAACAACAACAACAACAACAAGATTCCATTTATAAAGCGCCTTTCACGTCAGGAGAATGTCCCAAGGCGCTGCACTTTTGGGTCATGACCCGAGCAGGGGGGAAATGGTCAGGGTGAGGGGAGGGAAGGGAGGGAGCGAGGAGGGGGGAAATGGTCAGGGTGAGGAGAGGGAAGGGAGGGAGGGAGGAGGGGGAAGAGAGTCGAGAGGGGAGCTGAAGGCTCGGTCAAAGAGAAAATACAGCACAGAAGGAGGCCATTCAGCCCATCGTGTCTGTGCTGGCGTATTTAAAAGAGCCTTGTGAAGACACATTTTTAATCTTTTAGTAATCCTTGCATTTATAATGCTTATTTAATTACTTCATTTAAAAGTTGATGAATCTTGAAATAGACACACTGTGTAAGGGACCCACTTTTATACGATGGAGAGGAATTGAATACACCGTCTGTGCTACCAAAAGTGAAGGGACATTTTTTTTGCTAAATATAATATTAAAAAGCAAACATTATTATAAATCTTATAAATTGCAATATCTCTGAAAAGAGATCATAAATTCAAAATAGAATGGTAATTTGACCAAATGTAGCTTTGTATTTTTGTATTCAACTGATGTCTTCAAACAGCATCTCTGTCTATTCTATATTCTGAGCAACAAATCATCAGACTTAAGGTTTACGTGAAAAAAGAATTAAAATCATTTTACAAATTCAAACTCTTAAGTTTTAGTTCTAACACCAGTTCATTTTTCCCAGTAATTTAGCTCCATTCCTTTCTCTCTCAATTCATAGAATATTACAGCACAGAAGGAGGCCATTCAGCTCATCTTGCCTGTGCTGGCTCTTTGGAAGAGCTACCCAATCAGTCCCACTACCCCGTTCTTTCCCCATATCCTTGCAAATTTTTCCTCTTCAAGTACCTATCCAAATCCCTTTTGAAAGCTATTGCATCTGTTTCCACAATCCTTTCAGGCAGTGCATTCCAGACCGTAACAACTCACGTCAATAGGCTGACTAAAAGCACGTTGTACACAAAATTCCTCAGCGAGAAAAACATAAATAACCTAATGGAAATAGAACTTTTTTTAAAAAAAGGTTTTTTCTCTCCCTTTTTAGCCCCTGCATGATCCCTCCGTCTCTACAGGGAAGTGATAGGTATTTGCTTGGAATTTAGCACTGCCCAATAACAGCACATCCAATACTGTGGGGATAACTGTGCTGCATAACAGTGCGCTAATTTTGCGCTCACCTGATGTCTGAAATTTCATTTAGTCTCAGTTAGTAAAACCATTTTAATTTAAGATCATGTAAAATTGTGTAAATATTCTGAAAATTAATATGGAATTTAAGAATTTTCTACAGTTGATCATGATTTTAAATTTTAAGACAAAATGGTCTTACAGAGTAAGACTGGCTGGAATTTCTGATGTCCACAACACACAAACTTCAAGTCCTGTAGCTCAGTGGTTAGAGCACTCGCCTTGGAGAGCCTTGGTTCGATTCCCGCCAGGGCGAAATGTCGGACAAGTTTTCTTACTCCACACACCTCTGTTTACCTTGGAGTAAGTAGGAACCTGGTTGTTAGTCGATTGGCGGATTACTTTGCCGTGGGTAATCATTCTTTCAAAAAATAATAAATTGGTCACTCAAACCATGATTGTTTGTGGGGCACTGTTGTGCGCCATTGGTTGCCGTGTTTCGCCCACAAAAATATAGTCAATTCACTTCACAGTATATTCTATGAAACTCTGAAAAGTCTCGAAGACGTGATAAGGCTCTATAGCAAATGCAAGAATCATCATCATATTTGTGCACATATATATGCATCTCCAGCAGGGGTCACTGGATAGTGATTAAACGGATAAATGTGATTGCTCTTCCATTCCCCATGAATCCCTGCCACCATCTCAGCTGAGATTGGTTAACAAGACCAGGATGTGAATGTGAAACTCCTGATGAACCTTTGAAAACAGGTCATGTTGGAGGCGTGGGGCAGGGGATTAGTGGGGAGAGAAAAGGGTCCTCCTAATTTATTGAAAATAAAAATGTAAATTCTTTGTAATTGTTTCTATTTTCTTTTTTTTAGATGATTAAACAGTCTGGTGTTACTCCCATTATCCCTGTCCGTGTCTTCCTTTGTTCCTACAATTGCTTCAATAGTCCTGACCATCACTACTATGGCGTGGCAGTCTAATGGATGGCACAATCTGTTAATTGTGCTCAACAAACCTTACTTAACTAAGAAGATTAGATCTGCAACATTATTTGCAAATACTATATCAGATTAACATACAAGAGAGCAAATAAAAGCATCATTCCATAGAAATAATGAAGTTGCAAGTGAGTTATGTAGATTGTTCACAAATTGCTCATTTTCTAGATACCTTTAACTAGCATTAACTATTTATTCAATGTCTATTTAAAATCTGTGTGTTTTGCTGAGAATTTTGATGTAAGATAATAGAAAATTCACTTTTTGGGAGAGTGACAGAGTTCTTTGTTGATACCATATTGACAGACTCAGCATAGCACTCGCATTCATGGAGGAATGATGTGCGAATAAGGCTAGGTTGGTGTTCTGCAATGTCTGTGTTCTCCATTAGTGAGATGCAATTAAATCAATATTCAAGTGTTTTTTTAAAAATCTGATTGGGACAAAAAGGGTAAGTGTTTAAGAAAATCCTCGAGAGAAGCTCTTTTAGACTCCTATCAATGATTTGTTCTTATTATTAGAAATTGCAATGTTATTAATGCAAGGTTATTAAATACTCAAGTCTGTGTGTGGCAGCAGACATGATGTGAATGCAAATAAATTATTCTGGGATAAATATGTTTATATTCTGTATACATTGTAAAGAAATAAAATGCTGGTATCCCAAGAAAAGTGCTTTTATGTTTATATAATTAGATTGAAAAGTGCCATGGACTTCATAACAACTTATATTTAATATAGTGCCCTTCACACGGGTAGCATCTTGGAGCGCTTAACAGTGGTATGATTTGATACCAACCTGGGGAAACTGGTGCAGAGTGATTGGGAAAAATTGAGACAGGAGATGAATTAGGGATTCAGCAGCATTTGAAATAATATGGGTTGAAGGCGAGCAATGTGACAGAAGTGGAGGAGGTCAGTCCTGGTCAGGGATCAGATATGGGATAGGAAGGATAACTGGTTGCAAACAGGTTCAGTGAGTTTAAGGAACAGGGAGTAAAGGTTAAAGAGTTCAGAGCTGCAGGTGAGAAGGTATTGATGGGAGACAAAGAAGAAGACTTCAGTCTTGTCCATAATTAAGCTGCAGAAGGTTGGTGCTCATCCAGGCCTTGATATCAGACAAGCAGGCAGCCAGAACATGAGTAGGACTGGGGTCATGACTAGAAAAGGAGAAATAGATTTGCATGTCATCCACATACATGTGGAAATTGACCTCATGTCTGCATAATATCACCAAGAGCGAGCATGTGAAAAAAAAGTATAGAGCTTTGGGGTATACCGCATGTGACCACGCAGGGGCAGGAGGAGAAATCATTAAAGGAGATGAAATTGTGGAGTTTCCACCATGGAAATATATATATACATACAACAACAACAACAACAAGATTCCATTTATAAAGCGCCTTTCACGTCAGGATGACGTCCCAAGGCGCTGCACAGTTGGGTCATGACCCGAGCAGGGGGGAAATGGTCAGGGTGAGGGGAAGGAAGGGAGGGAGTGAGGAGGGGGTAAATGGTCAGGGTGAGGGGAGGGAAGGGAGGGAGCGAGGAGTGGGAAGAGAGTCGAGAGGGGAGCTGAAGGCACGGTCAAAGAGAAAAGTTTTGAGACCGGCCTTGAAGGAGGAAAGGGAGGAAGCGGCGAAGGCACTGGGGGATGGAGTTCCAGAGCCTCGGGGCTGAGAGGCTGAAGGCCCGGCCACCGATGGTAGGGCGGTTGGGGCGGGGGACGTGGAGCAGACCGGAGCCAGAGGAACGGAGGGTACGGGCAGGTAGGTAGGGGGATAGTAGGTCGGAGAGGTAGGAGGGAGCAAGGCCGTGAATGGCCTTGTAGGTGAGGATGAGGATCTTGAAATCAATCCTCTGGGGGATGGGGAGCCAGTGGAGGCGAGCGAGGGTGGGAGTGATGTGGTCCCGAAGCCTGGTGTGGGACAGTACACGAGCTGCAGAGTTCTGAATGACCTGCAGCTTGTGGAGGGAGGTGGCGGGAAGGCCGGCGAGGAGAGAGTTCCCATAGTCCAGCCTTGAGGTGACAAAGGCGTGAACCAGGGTTTCAGCAGCGTGAGGGGACATATTATTGGGTTCTTTTAATGTGGTGATTTGCAATAAGAGCTGCTAGCAGCAAACAGTGACTTCTGCCGGTAACCAGAAGTGTGTCACAAGCAGCATCTCTAGTAAGAGAAGTGCATTGTGCCAGAGCAGAATATTTTTAAGGGCTGCAGAAAAACAATTTAAAAATTATTGTGAGTTTAAGAATTGTGATTTTAACACAAGCTGATACAAATCTACATTTGAGGTCTTGGGGTTCGAGATCAGCAGGTAGCGACAGGTCTCGGGGAACGATGCTAGTCGCAGGCACCACCAAGTGAGTGGAAGTCTACAGGAGCTGCGGCCATCAGTGGGTCCAGGTGCGGAGCTGCCATTTTAAAATCTCCCGCCTGAACAGACGGCCCAAAATCCCTGTGGGACGTAATTTCTGTCCGCCAGTTTTGAATTACTGGAATAGGGTTCAGTCCAGTCTTTACTATTATCTCCCTCCCTTCCTTTCCTCCCTGTAAAATTCTCTGTGTTATTTTCCAGGTTGGGCAACCTGGTAAATAAAACAATGTCCCCTGCCCCCTCGCCACCCTCTGCACTGTCTCCTCTAGCCCCTGCTGTCTCCACGCCTGCGGGCTGACTATGCCCCGCTAATTGTTTGCCTCCTTTTGGCTGCCGCCCCATACCCGAGCTGCTTTCCCCAAAATGCCACCATCCCTGTCCTCTACCACGCATCATTCCCACTCCGTCTTCCTCTGCTCCAGCCTGGGATTCCTCCTGTCCAGCAGCAGCCACACTGACTGCCCCAATTCCCCACTATCACTGCAGGACCCACTGGCCCCAGACCCTGGGGGCAAACCTCTCCTCCCTCATCCACATTCCCTGTCGATCGTTCCGCCCAAACCCCCACCCTCATTGCACACATTCCTCTCCCAAATGTCCCCTCCGTTTTGCCCTACAAAATGTACGCTGTCTTTCCAAAAAGCCCTCACCGTCAACGACCTCATGGTTGATGGAAACATTGATATCCTGGCCCTCACAGAAACCTGGATCACCCCAGGTGACACCTCCCCCTGACTGAGGCCACACCACCCTTCCACCATACCCCACGACCTAAGCGCCATGCCGGTTGTGTGGCTCATCTTCAAGTTCTCGCTTGCCCTATCCCCCTAATCCTCTGGTTCCTTCCTTCCTTCCTTCCTTCCTTCCTTCCTTCCTTCCTTCCTTCCTTCCTTCCTTCCTTCCTTCCTTCCTTCCTTCCTTCCTTCCTTCCTTCCTTCCTTCCTTCAAGCACCTTATCCTACACCATCCTCCAATCTTTCCCTTACAATTCTCCTCATTTATCATGACCCAAACCCTCCCCCATCTTCCTCTCTGACATCTCGACCCTTCTAGCTTTCTTCTGTCTCTGTTCTTCACTTGCTTGACTACACCAACTGCCTGTTCCCTGGACTTCCCAACTCTTCCCTCCACATACTACATATTATTCAAAACTTTGCAGCTTGTGTACTCTCTCATCCTTGCCCGGCTTCACTGGCTCCCCATCCCTTGGAGAATCGAGTTCAAAACCCTCATTCTCACTTTCAAAGCCCTCCACGGTCTTGCTCCCCCCTACCTCTCCGACCTCCTAACCCCATATCGGCCTGTCCGCTCCCTCTACTCAGCGGACACTGGCCTGCTTCAGGTGCCCTGCACTTCTCGCCCCACCAATGGCAGTCAGACATTTAGCATCTCCTGAAATCTATCCCGCAATCCCTCTGCCTCACCTCCTCTCTTGCCTCCTGCAAGTCCTGTCTAAAGACCTTCCTCTTTGACTGTGCCTTCAGTCACCGTCCCACCTCCACACTCCCTGCCCTCCACCCGTCCTGATACCAACTCCCAGCTCATGTCCAAAACCCCCTGATTGTCCAGCGCCCTGGGACATCTTTCCAATGTGAAGGGTGCTATACAAGTGTAATTTGTTCTGAACACCTTCTCATTCTAGACAACTTCAGCCTGCACTTCACCGCCTCTTGCTCTATCTCCGCTGACTTCTCCTCTCTCCTCTCCTCTCACATCTCTCCCTCCACATCCACTCTGCCACCCATGTCCATGACAATCCGCTTGACCTGGTGATTACCTGGATCCTCAGGGTCTTGGACCTCATCATCACCAACAAAGCCATCTCGGACCATTACTTCATCTCCCTTAACTCCTGAATCCCTCTCCCCACCACCACCCAACCCACCTCCATCTCCTACCACCACTGGAAAAATATCTTCCCCAATCCCTCTCCGCTGCCCTGGAGTCATCTGACTTCCTCCCACTCTGGGCTTCCTCCCACATTGACTTATCTTCCTCGGTACCTCTCCTACACAACTCCCTCTCCACCATTCTCAAAGCCCTTGCCCCCCTCACCTCATGAACTGAATCCTACTTATGCAAGTCTCCCCTGTACACCAGGCACCTCCACTCACTCAAGACACAGGGTTTGTGCTGCTGAATGCACCTGCTCAAATCTAATTGAACGGTCCATCGGCAGATCTGGCTGGACCTCATCAAACAAGCCCAGGCTCCAATTTGTGAACGTAGGTCCCATCTCAAGGCCTCCACATCATTCTGGGATTCCCTGTGGATTACTGAAAGTGCTTCCTCTTTGCTGCTGTCAGAATGTTTTGGTTCTGGGTTTTTCTGCAGAGTCTACTTTGAATTTAAGGCCACTTTAAGCTTGGCTTCCTCTTAACCCATTGAGCCATTTTAAATATCCTGCCACGTTGTTTTGGGGTCAGACATGGCAAGCTTAAATAGCATTTAAGCATTTAACTGCCAACCATCCTTCCCTTTCCAGTTTTATAAATTGCTTTCTGAGGGTAATAATTCCTCAAAAAAAAATGTGGTCACTCAATCCACGACTGTTTGTGGGAAGCTCTTGTGCACAATTGACTGCAGCATTTACCCACAAAATGTACAGTCAATCCACTTTACAATATATTCTGTGAAGCACTTTGAGCCGTCTCAACGATGTGATAAGGCACTTTTATCAAATGCAGGGATTCTTTTATTATTTATAAGCACCAAATATGGCCATTCTTTGGCTAATTACTTCTTCCACCAGCACATTTCACACGCTTCTGAAACTT